TGGGGGGGGGGGGAGGGGTAGGTGGATTTGACTCGACAATCAAGACATACCTTTACACATTGTGCCTGAGCCTGTATTGTGAGGTTAAAAAAGGATTTCACTAGTCATAATTTTTTTTAGAGGGGGGAGGGAGGATATTAAAATATTGTAGCTTTGATTGCTTGAAAAATTAAATTAATAAAAATCAGATACTAATAAATAAGAGTATTTTTTAATCGTAGGACTTTAACACCTTTCAAGAATCATTTAGTTCAATGTACCTGTTATCAACACATGGAAATCTCATTCATGCATATATTGAAATATTTATATTAAAAAAAGATAACATGGGTATATTAACCCATTGAATATACGTCTACGTGACAAAAAATGATAAGGTGAATGTTTGTAAATATTGGCGTAATTCTAACTTCAGATATTGATCTCGATATTTCTTTAAATTTTGGATTTTGCAAATCAATTGATCTAACACTATTCTATATCGATGTCTTTTATTTATTTTGACAGCTTCATCCAACATTGAATTTTTATTAACGTTTAGGACTTACGACTTGTGCATTAGTTTTGTTCCTCTATTGAACTTTTTTTGAAAAACGTTTAGATGAAAAGTTGATATCCCATTGAAGAACTTGGAAACGAAACGTGTTAAATTCTATATTTTAAATGTAATTACGTAGGCGTGTATATACAATAGTTACTATGTATTAAACTAATTTTACCATGAAATATTGCTCGCGATAATGTCTAAATTACAGCGTATAAAAACCAAATTTCATTCACTTTATATTTTATTTCATTGACTGTTCACACGCTAACAAGTGATTTGGTATAGGCCTGATATGTTTTGTGTAATATAGATATTAATACAATATGCATATCATACATATCTGGATATATCCTGCCGTGGGTTGTAATTAGGATTAAAAGAACACCCCATGCCTCACCGATAGTCGTAGTACGAATGAAGGGCGATACAACCCGATTTTGCATTGATTACGCGAAAGTAATTGAAGATATGACAAACGATATAGATTCTTAAAAGTTATATAAGTTAGTCTGGCCAAGAAACAAGACCAAGATATGGATCGAAAATAGACAGTATAAAGCACAAGTCTGAATTATGTAAGACAAATTGCTAAATTATAGTAGTGAGACAGATTAAATTGAAAACCCTATGGCTCAGTACAAAAGAGGGGCGATACAACCCGATTTTGCATTTTGTTTTGCCAATAACCAAAACATTTTGAAGGAAAATGGACAGAAAACAGAGAGTATAAAGCAGGCATTTTCTCGTTTATATTAAAAAAAAACCTATGCCTCACCGAAGGTTGCAGTGCGAAAGAAGGGTGATACAACACGATTTTGTATTGACTACGTGAAAGCCATTGGTACAATGACAATTTGAAGAGATTCTTAAAAGCATCTGAGTTAGTCTGCCCTAGAAATTCCCAGGAAATTAAGACCAGAAGTGGACTGAAACACCTAAAAATAATCTTACTGGAAAGATAATGGAGTATAATGTTGCTGCCTAGACTAAGTAATATTTAATATAAAACACTTTCTAAGCTGGAGTAATCAACTAGACAAAATGGCTTTATATTTTCTCATTTAGCGACTAAGTTCGAATCTGTAATCATGTGAATAATCGATTTCAGAATGTGTTTAAAGGGATGGCGCAGATGTTTTCTAAAAGAGGTTGTTCTGAAAAAAACGTGTGTATATCTGGAACACTTAAAGCACTGACTTGCACCATTCCAATTTCAGACGTCTGTGGCTCTTGTAATTCCACCAAAACTGTGCGTTTTATGACATCACTATCGCAAAGGTCCTTACATAGCATAGTTGCTTTAACGATAGTGACATCGCTTAGTGGTATTGCAGGAACCACAGGAAACATTGTGACATTGTGAAAATCGGTGATATCAGTGTCCCCGATACACATACATTTTGTAGAAAACCTCTTTACAATCCCTTTAAGACTGTATTTAAAAGCTTGGCTGTTAAGACGAATTAGAAAAGAGTTAGAAAATCGTGGAACTTGTTTTGCAAAGGAAACTGTCAATCATTGGGGACAATACTATTTTCCAGCCTAAAATAGATCTTTTCATTTGATTTGATTTTCTAAAATAAACGCCGAAGTTGCATGAATATCGATTTTCAATCCCATTCTGTAGACTATTTAATGAGACGCCTTTAGTTAATTCAGAAGCTTTTATAAATGTATCTAATAGAGACGTCTTGAGAGACTTCTTCATCCCATGATCACATCCAGCCATTAGGAAAATGAACTGGAATGGATTGGACTGTTTCGTCCAACTTTTTAAGTAATGAAAAAATGTAAATTAAGACTACAGTAAGAGGATTGAGCGATTTGTCAGAATATTACAAAAAGCTGGTAATCTTTAAGACCTTATTGAAGATCGTCATAGGCTAATCTTTCTGTTATTTGAAACTGAATAATGAACATCATTATCGGACAAAAAAAAAATCGAAAACACAAAAAAAATTAAACGAATATAAACATCGATTTTTTTGGTTAATCACCAAAAGATCAGTTAGGGTTTAGAATGAAATTGAAGACAACCTTGCTGCTAGACCTTCATTCTGCAGGCACTATTGGTAAATGAAATTTACTGTTAATGAAAGATCAATTGAGTCCTACTTTGAAAGTGGACTCTCTGAAAGGGATGTCAAGCTGATAATCAGGTTCACTAACCTAAATACATATACCAAATAAATAAGATGGATGGTGTTGACTAAATCTAAACAGACAAATATTTCCAATTAGTGGACTCTCTGAAAAAAAAACTCCGTCAAGTTGACAAACCTAAATACCAATAAATATTAAGCTATGTAGATTCTCTCTGAAAGGGATGTCGATTTAACAAATCTTACTCAAGAAAGAAACTTGAAAACTTGAATCCCCCACCATTTTCAATATTAACATCCAAAGGGATGTCGAATTGACAAATCCAACTCAAGAAAGAATCTTGAGAACTTGAAATCCCCCACCATTTTCAATATTAATATCCTTTTTGGTTTATTTCAAGGGTGTATACATATCACTACTAATGGTCTGTATGGTTTAACAAGACTTTATCAACTACAGGAGCTAGAACTAACCAATACACCATCAGCTTCTAAAGGTGTCGGACATTTCTTACGAGAAAATTTACCTAGGTGTATTGTGTTGGATTAACAGATAACTTACCCAGGTGTATTTTGTTGGATAAACAGAGAATTTAGAGGTGTATTGTGTAATGTTGGATTAAACAGAAAAAAATACCCAGGTGTTATGTGTTCCAAATGTTGGATTAACAGAAACAAAAATACCCACGTGTTATGTGTTCCTAATGTTGGATTAACAGAAAAAAAAAATACCCACGTGTTATGTGTTCCTAATGTTGGATTAACAGAAAATTTGTCGTGTGTGTGTGCGTGAAAGTAATATTCCAAAAGTCATGTCAGTCATTGTGTTAACTTCTGGTGAATGTTTGTAAGGAAGTACACTTTGAAACGGCAAGATGCCGTGTTTGAGTGTGGTTCCTAGGGTCCTATTGAGGTTGCCTTATATTTGAACAGTTGTGTGTGAGTCTCTCCAAAGTCATGTCAAAGTCATTGTGTTAATTTCAGATGAATGTTTGTAAAGAATGTATAGACTTTGAAACGACTTTAAGATGACGTGTGTGAGTGTGGTTCCTAGGGTCCTATTGAGGTTCAAAGGGGGGTTTGCTTGCCTTATATTTGAACACGTGTGTATGAGTCTCCTCCCCAAAGTCATGTCAAAATCACTGTGTTAACTTCAAATGAATGCTTGTAAAGGAAGTAGACTTTGAAACGTCAAGATGACGTGTGTAAGTGCGGTTCCTAGGGTCCTTTTAACGTTAAACGGGGGTTTGCTTGCCTTATATTTGAACACGTGTTTATCTTCTCTCCAAAGTCATTTTAAAGTCATTGTGTTAACTTCAGATGAATGTTTGTAAAGGATGCAGACTTTGAAACGGTAAGATGACGTGTGTGAGTACGGTTCCTAGGATCCTATTGAGGTTCAAAAGGGGGTTTGCTTGCCTTATATTTGTCATATATATAAGTCATGTCAGTCATTGTGTTAATTTCAGATGAATGTTTGTAAAGGATGCAGACTTTGAAACGGCAAGATGACGTGTGCTGAGTGCGGTTCCTAGGGCCCTTTTAAGGTTAAAAGGTGAAAGAGGGGGGGGGGGGGGGTTGCTTGCCTTATATTTGTGAAAAGAACACTTGGTGGCTTTGATTATATTGCTGTTATGGGAAATCAGTATTTTAAAGCTTAACAGAAGCTGAAATTGTCTCTTAAACACTTATATGAAAATCTGTAAGAGTTGTAAGCTGTAATTGTGTGATTGGATGTAGGTCTACCAACAGTATAGGCCTTAGTTAGTGTTGCCTTTACTTATGACTCACATGGAACCGTCGGATACAACCAGCTCTTTAACCTAGGGTTCAAATCTGTAAAGATATGTAGTGTCTCCAGAAGTTACCAGTCGTCTTGGTAAATTTTTGAAAAAGATATATGAGACTGAGGTTTTAACCGCAGAGATAAACTGCTAAATAAAACCATGCTGGTGAGGCAGGTCATCTTATTTCAAAACATTGGCTGTAATTACTGTTTAATTGAAGGGTTAAGCTCGATGTTGATGCTTTGATGCAGAAGTGTGGATGCTTTTTGTCAATAAATTCAATGTACAAACTTATTGTTTATTTACTTTTCCTGACAAACAGTAAAAAAAACATATGACAATGCAATGCATCTTAAATTAAACGGTTGTGAATTAATATTTATTTATTTATTTATTAATAAATACAATACAGTCGGTGAAGGGTCCTGAAAGAGGTAATGAACAGACAAAGGGTGAAAACCCTCCAGATGAATTGTTAAAACACTGGGATTGGTATCACTTACATATTTTTAGGATGTAGGACATTCAATATACCACATTGTGACAATATACCACATATTGTGACAATATACCACATTGTGACAATATACCACATTGTGACAATATACCACATTGTGACAAAATAACACATTGTGACAATATACCACATTGTGACAATATACCACATTGTGACAATATACCACATTGTGACAATATACCACATTGTGACAAAATAACACATTGTGACAATATACCACATTGTGACAATATACCACATTGTGACATTGAGCCAGTCAAAATCACAAAAATGGTATCTTGAGTGGTGTCATGGGAAATGTAAGGACTTCCACTCTTTCAGAACACCTGAATCCACACATCCCTTGGTATTATTGCGATATGTATGTCAGATATAAACACAATTAGGAGTAAAATTCGATTTTGAAAATTAGCACTGAATTCAGTAAGAGTTACAGATTGTATGGTAAAAAGTTTCTTAAAATTTGATTTCAGTCAGTTTAATATTTGTGTAATTGTAATATATTGAATTCAGTAACCTTCTAATTTCCTATTTTACATGTTTTTCTACAAATTTAATAAGCTTTAAGATTTATAATTTGATTTTTCCACTCTAGTTGTTAAATATTGTAGTTTATTTTAATATCAATATTCAGACTTTATTTTAATAAGAATTCACTATTTCTAATAGTCTGAAACATCTAACTCTATACCAGCCTCAGATAGAATTTCTCCAGATAATACCTTGGGATTTTTCAGGTACGAGGGGCTGACATGGAAAAGCGTCTAATCATTCAGATGGGACGATAAACCGAGGCCCTGTGTGCTACAGGCTGTGCATGTTAAAGATCCCTCGACAGTTGGAAATCTAAAAAGAGCACACTATTGCCGCTATCCTGGCAAAATTTCCCCTCATTGCATTATGCATGGCGTTGCCCGTCTTCATTAGTCCACATAGTGCAGAAAAGTAGGACGTAAAACTCCATTCATTTTATTTTCTGATACGAGTTCTCATGTCGAAAACTGTCAAAATATCTATCAGAAGTGAAATGAAATGAATGGAGTTTTACGTCCTACTTTTCTACACCATGTGGGCTAATGAAGACAGGCAACTCAGGGTGCAATGAGAGAAATTTTGCCAGGATCAAAATATCTATCAGAGGCTGGAATAGAGGTAGATGTTTCGGACTTCATATCCAATAATTTATCTGTCAACTTGTCAAAACAGTATGAAATATATTTACTGTAACAATAAGAATGATTGTTTTACTTACACATGTGTGAATTTTCAATTTATTTTTTTTATATAAAACTCAAGAGGTTTTCTAGTCATATATGTAATGGAGACACTTTTATCTTCTGTGAGCACCATTCTGAGTTCCAGTCATACTTCTGTTGTTCCTGTAATCCCACACAAGATTATGAGAACAGTATCACAAATCATTTGCATGGCATTTTTCATCTGATGCTAAAATCTTGTTAAGAATTACAGAATTACATGGACCAAAGACATAGGTTGGGGCATGGAATGGTCTTACCTACTCCAAACTGAAGCTAAAAGTATCCAAAATACACAAACTCAGCCTGGAATTTGTTGTAAAAACCAATACTGATTATATTTGTATTGTTAAGACCAAAAATAATGTGTATATAAAGTGCAATATGAAGCCAACATGTGGTTCTTCACCTTAAAACTAGTCATGTGAAAAAATTGTTGAAATTGGCATAATAATATTGGAAATTAAGATCAAATCTCACAGTTCTGGTTATTGTTGGATACAGCTTGTGAAGGTCATGTTAAATGGTATTTAGATTGTCTAATATGCAGTCTGGGGTCAGAATGAGACAGTGTTTCCCACACCACAGCAGATTCAAAATTCATCACATGACTGTATTAGGGCACATCTTAATTTTTTCAACCATGCCAAATCAATCATTCTTTAAAACAGAAATGCGAGGGTCATGGGTAAGGACAAAACTGCCTGTCTAAGGCCAGAATGAGACAGTGTTTTCCACCCTACAGTAGATTCAAAATTGATCACATGACTGGGTTTAGGGTGAAGAATGATTCCTATTTATTCAAATAATGAAAATATTTATTTAATGGAGCACTATTATATTTTAATGTCAAATGTGTATATATTTTGTGACAGATGTTCATACAAAAAGGGGCAAAATAGATGTAAAATTATAAATAAACAATTTAAAATTCATTCTGGAGTTTTACTTTAGCTAGAGAGAAAGTGGTTCCTCTGATTGACAGTAGAAATATTGCAGGAATATACAGGTATACGTCCGAATGTGAGCGAAATATCTTTCCCTTTCAGTGTTCATGAGACAAGATCCTGACTATATAAGATAAGTTTTAAGATGATATTCAGATAATATTTAGGTTGAGAATAAAAGTCCTAGCTATGTAATTATCTCTAGACTTATATGATTGTATTGTCAGTAATCAGTGTCATATCATTGGTAATTAACAGACACCAGCACGACACTAACATGACGTGGTACCAATCTGAATGTGACATAGTACAGTATAATCTGGTCTAGATTTGATATCAACCCATCAAACTGGAAATCACAGACCCACACACCATCAAAAACTGTGTCAAATCTTGAATCCTGTCTGTTTCTATTCTGGTCTTAATCAAACGGAACGAAAGCAGATATGTCGCATTCCAATTTTTCCTAATGATTTTTTCAGCACACGTAGAGCATTTCTGAACCTTGTTCCAACTTGTTTTATTGAATGTCCAGCTTAATCCATGAATTCCGAACGTGAAAACTCACCAATCGTCATCAATGGAGCAACCATGAAATCAAATCACTGTCCATGCACTAAAATAATATTTTTATTGTCGCAGATAAGTTCACTATAAATCAATATTTGTTTTTATCCATTCCACCATGACATACACCCTAGTCCAGAATCACTGATCGAAGCCTGTAACATTATAATAATAAAGTTTTATGTACCATGTTCATGTGCAATTAAAGCCATGCAATGTTATGCAGTGGGTAATGAAGGACATTAGACAGCATATAGATACAGTCTATACAGACAATAATAAATTTAACATCCTATGTTTTAGTACAGAGTGTAAGCCAAATGATATTCACAATAATGGAGTTACAATCTGTAAAAGTTTTAAAAGATTTGCATGAACTACAGATGAATGATCTAAATACAAGCATTTCACAAGATTGACACATAAAAAGCAAGACAAATTCAGTTAAAATATGCACCACTAATTAGAGAAATGGTGATGAATTTAAATACATAGTAATTAAGAAACGCACTGGCTATTTGCACCGTCACGATGAGTTTTCTCTATGGCTGCTAACAACGGTACGGATAAGAAAGGAAACAATAGACACGCTAGTTTTGGGGTTTTATTTAAAGCGTGAAGCCATTTTGATTGTCAAGAATGATATTAAGTGACTCTGTTAGGGTTAGGTAGGGATGGCCATATGTTTTTTAATGCCCAATTTTGTACCGTCGCTGTGCGAATAGCCACAGCCTTAAGAATATTGACTAACTAGCTGTATCAGTTGATTAGTAGGAAACAACTCTCCAAGATCAAATAAGTTTTAAAACCCTCAGACATCTCATTGACCTATCAGTTCTCCAAAACACATAATAGGTTTTTAAAATGGTCAGTTTCTAACAAGCTGCCAAATTTGAGAATTTGAAACTCTAATTAAAGAAATGGTGATGAATTTTAAATTGACAGAAATTAAGTATATTGACAAACTATCTGTACCAGTTGAGGAACAACTCTTTCCTTGATCAATTTCAATATATCTACATTTACCTACTAATTTAGTCACTAACTCAAGTCACCAATCAATTCTTCAAAAATCCTGACAAAATCCTTGTTTTATTTTTGTGGGTGGATTGGGTGTTCATTTGGTACTTATTACTTTTATATATAAGCAATAATAAAAATATATTCATAATGGTAAAATCAATAAAATCAAAATGACCAAAATTTGGACATCTATAATCAACATTCGAAAATTTATTAAAGAATTACCTGCATCTTAGGATAAAATCTACTGTACAAATGTGCCTCAATAACTAGTCTTCCGAATTGATTTCATGTCACGTTTGTTTGTCAATTTGAATCGCCAAAACATGCCCTAGCCCCTAATATGGACCTCCCCCTACTAATCTTGCCCTTGCCTCTTCAGTGAGTAACTTGGTAAAGCACTCTCCGTCTTGTCCCTTTGGAACCCTTTCCTCTTCCCCGTCTGGTATTTATTTGAGTGAGCTATCTCCGTCTCAAAATCGCCATAAAATATCAAACAACTTACTGTAATGGTATATGGAGGTTTTTTTAGTTCAGGATCAGTAGGTATATCACTTTCAGTATTAGTGGTATCTGGACCGCTGGGCGTGGTATCCGTAAATGTTTCATCGACAACACGAAATCTGAAATAGGTAAGAAAATCTTTGAATATGGGTGGAATTTTTTTTTTAACAAAATAATGGTTTATGAAATTGCTGCATTTTATGTTACAAAAAAAGGCTAATGGAGTCAAGGTATAAGATGCAGTTCGTACGAGGTATGATATAGGTATAGGTATAACAATATGTGAAATCAGTAACAAAAAAGAGAAAAGTGCTAAGTACAAGGTAACTTAAATCAATATCAATTTTTACGAAAGGGTCAGTGTCATTTTTTTTAGGACATGACAGATGTAGAAATCACACGGAAGCATGGTTTTTTAAATGTCCTGGGTCAGAAAAGTATAAGCCTTCTTTTGATGAAAAACATCAAATTTCACGTCTTTAAGTGTTTTGTTTCTTACATTTAAAACCATGACAACAGACAGCAACATTGTTACAGTTAAATGTAAAAGAGATATTTTCTTTTACAGATCTTATATCTCACACCCACATGTTATGTCTCTTTTCTTGCCTCTATTAAAAAGACTTTATTTAAAAAGACAAGGACGACCAGACACTAATCTAAAAATAAAATACCTATTTACCTACATAGATTACGATCATAAAGGTGCTTTGGGGCACAGTTTTTCAAGTCAATAATTAATTTTTTAAGGTTTTTTTTTAGTGTTTGTAGTAAAAAAATAACACTGACAATATTTAGATATTTTTTAATATGATAATTCTATGTCAAACAGGTCTAGTGCGTTTTTACTCCTGATTGGACTTCAATGACATTTCTGTGTCTAACCGGTCTAGTATGTTTCTGTTCCTGATGGTACGTTCTGTTCCTGATTGGACTTGACAATGCTGTGTCAAACAGGTCTAGTAGGTTTCTGCTGACGCACTGGTGATGCATGTTCTCTATGACTGCTAACAAACATAATGGCTGATAAGATAGGACACAAAAGGCACATTAATTTTTTTTTTTTTTAAACGTGAAACCATTTTGATTGTCAAGAATGATATTAAGTGAGGTTAGGTAGGGATGGCCATATGTTTTTTAAATGCCAATTTCTGTACCGTCGCGGTGTGAATAACCTTCTGTTAAAGAGGCATAAAACATATAGATATGCAAACTAATGAATAACGTTTATTCTACTATCTATTATTTATCAATCATCAGGTTTCTGCTCCTGATCATCTTCTGCGTCTGCTAATGAAGTCTAGTAACGCCAAAAGCAAAACATTTTAAAATATCAATAATACTTGAATGAGGTTAGAAAATCAAATTAATATTAAGAAATACCAGACAGAGGAAACAAAGATGTTTAATTTTAGTATAAAATTCTCCAGAGGTTTTTAACATTTAACAATGTAATATTTAACTTATAGTTTAACTTATTGCTAAATTCCCATGGAAACGCTTTTAATTTGTTCTTTTATTTTGGACAGTTCACTTAGCTAATAATTATAACTGAAGGTGGGATATCATATATAACATTCATACTTGCAAAATAAAATAAATAATCAATTGTGGCTGCAAATGAAGTGGGTCCAAGGTTCTATTTATCCAAATAAATTTAAATTTTGATTAATCGAAACAATTTTTGCAAAAGAGGGGTTGCCAATAATCATAGAAACACCAAAGTGGCATGGTCCTGTCTAATATTCAGCCTATGGGGACAAACATAGACTCTATATTTTACATGGGTCAGAATTAAGTCCAATACACCAAGGTGACATGGCCCTGTCTAACATTCAGCCCATGGGGACAAACATAGACTCTTTATTTTACATGGGTCAGAATTAAGTCCAATACACCAAGGTGACATGGCCCTGTCTAACATTCAGCCCATGGGGACAAACATAGACTCTTTATTTTACATGGGTCAGAATTAAGTCCAATACACCAAGGTGACATGGCCCTGTCTAACATTCAGCCCATGGGGACAAACATAGACTCTATATTTTACATGGGTCAGAATTAAGTCCAATACACCAAGGTGACATGGCCCTGTCTAACATTCAGCCCATGGGGACAAACATAGACTCTTTATTTTACATGGGTCAGAATTAAGTCCAATACACCAAGGTGACATGGCCCTGTCTAACATTCAGCCCATGGGGACAAACATAGACTCTTTATTTTACATGGGTCAGAATTAAGTCCAATACACCAAGGTGACGTGGCCCTGTCTAATATTCAGCCTATAGGGACAAACATAGACTGTTTATTTTACAAGAGTTAGAATCAGGTCCAATACACCAAAGTGACGTGGCCCTGTCTAATATTCAGCCTATAGGGACAAACATAGACTGTTTATTTTACAAGAGTTAGAATCAGGTCCAATACACCAAAGTGACGTGGTCCTGTCTAATATTCAGCCTATAGGGACAAACATAGACTGTTTATTTTACAAGAGTTAGAATCAGGTCCAATACACCAAAGTGACGTGGTCCTGTCTAATATTCAGCCTATAGGGACAAACATAGACTGTTTATTTTACAAGAGTTAGAATCAGGTCCAATACACCAAAGTGACGTGGTCCTGTCTAATATTCAGCCTATAGGGACAAACATAGACTGTTTATTTTACAAGAGTTAGAATCAGGTCCAATACACCAAAGTGACGTGGTCCTGTCTAATATTCAGCCTATAGGGACAAACATAGACTGTTTATTTTACAAGAGTTAGAATCAGGTCCAATACACCAAAGTGACGTGGTCCTGTCTAATATTCAGTCCATGGGACCGTAAAAGAACAGAAAAGACGATGAATGTGAAACAAAGTTATTCACGTTGTTGTAAAGAGGAAGTCATATTTAATTCCCCTGATAGAAACGGAGGTCTGGAGATGATCAATCTCATATCTCACTGCTGGTTATTTTAATCAGAACTTATACTATCTGGTTATTATATCTTCATTGGCATTTCCACGGAGGGGCCATGGATCTCAGGGAAAAGATGCTGGCCTGTATTGGCCCCAAAACTTTCAAATTTTTTTCATTGTAAATAGTGAAACCCCTTGACCTCTACTTGGCCTCCTCTATAGATGGGACAATAAACCAAGGCCCTGTGTGCTACAGGCTGTGCACTTTAAAGATCCCTCGACAGTTGGAAATCGAAAAAGAGCAGGCTAATGCTACTGTCCTAGCAAAATTTCCCTCATTGCACTCTGCTTGGCGTTGCCCGTATTCAGCCCACATGGTGCAGAGAGTAAGATGTGAAACTCCATTCGTTTCATTTCATTTCAGGTTCTTATCTTTGAATATAGCTTGTCTGACATGGTAATGTACACCCACAACAGAATCAACTTACCAAGATCGCTTGAGTGAAATGAAAGTTTCACTTTTTGACTCTTTGATTATCAAGTGTCAAAAGATCTTGAACATGCACAGCCTGTAGCACCCCTCAGCTTATTGTCATCAAATAAATAGATTCTCTTGTAAGAGTTTTATTGGCAAAATTTTCCTCATTGCACACTGCATAGTGTTGCCCGTCTTCATTTGCCCATCTTCATTACCCCACATGGTGCAGAAAAGTAGGACGTAAAACTCCATTTATTTCATTTCATTCTGTCAGTTTTTCATTTTCAAATACAATTCAGATGAAAACTTGTTTTTTTTGCTAAAAAATGCACACCAAGTTTTCTGCCATTTTTAGATGTATAGATAACAGAATTAATGAAATTGAAGAATACGTTGTACTCATCAATTACAAGCCTTGTCATAGCAGGATGCAATGCAGCCAATATCAATATAGTTCATCAATGTGTGAGGCCATATTTCAATTGTCATTAAGAATATGAAACTAATCAACTTTATTTATCTCTAACATTAATAGTCTGAAACTACGAACTTTAGCTGGCCTCAGAAAGATATTTGACTATTAAATAAATAACACTATTATAGATATACTACTCCTTCCTTTAATTTTTGCAACGTTTCAATTCACATACAGGAATCTTTATCAAGCTTGATAAAATTGCAAAATGTTGCAAAAATTAAAGAAAGGAGAAGTATATCCATAATAGTGTTATTTATTTAATGTTCTATCTACTTGTAAATGTCATTTAGAGAAGATATTTGACTAGTCTGAAACTACTGACTTTAGCTGGTCTCAGATAGAGATTTGACTAGTCTGAAACTACTGACTTTAGCTGGTCTCAGATAGAGATTTGACTAGTCTGAAACTACTGACTTTAGCTGGTCTCAGATAGAGATTTGACTAGTCTGAAACAACTGACTTTAGCTGGTCTCTTGATAGTCGAGCCATTTATGACCAAAAGGCCTTTGTGAAAGTTACGCTAGCACTCTGTAACATCACGGTAATGAATGGACATTTTTTTTTCCGGAACTATGTCAATATTGTCACATGATCACGTGATTCTGGTAATTTAAATATTTGAGGCTGGTCGTTCATGACTTCAAGTACTGGTAAACAAAGTCAATGAAAACAAAAAATTCTTTAGAAACGGATCAAAATGATAACAAAATGTATCATTAGATAACCAATGGTCACAATATTGTATTAAATACATATGTCAGTGTCAGAATTATCTCTAAATTTAAGGACTATATTCCGGTTGCAATATTACCATCACTTGACAAATCACTGTCGAGGATTGCCGAATGATTTATAGCTTCTATTTGCAGTTCCTATATCCTCCTGCAGTTTATTTAAATTAGGGAATTTGAAATGTATTTTACTGTCATGTTTATATAAATTTTAGAAATAAAATCACCATTGTTAAAAAAGGAAGTTAAAGTATAATAACAAAGAATGATTTTTGATACTGAAACTGCACTCTAACCAAAATAATTTGAATTTTTTGAAAAAAAAAAGATAAATCCTAATGCAGTGAACGCCCGTCTGCTAATAGATTTCATTACCTGCCAAAAAACAGGCACACCATAAATTTCTGACAAAAAAACTAAAAGTTTGGAATTAGCGAAATGTAAATAAAGGAAACGTTATCAGCTAGTTGTCAAAACAATGGAGAATTACATTAATTCCTACACCCAAATTTATATCTAGTATTGCCATTTGTCAAACTAGCTGACAGAGTTATGGCCCTTTGTCTGTAAACATTTTACACTTGGCAAGTAATTCATTGTCGAAATGTTCATAGTTTTTAAGTTATGGTACTTTATAGATGCCCCACCTTACATTATTTCTTCAGTTCAAAACAATTTAGTTTCAGTTTTAGAACAATTTCAAAGTCCATAGAGCTAAAAAAACTTTTAAGTCACCCTTCTTACTATTTTCAAGGCAAATCTCCAGGTTTTTTTTCCTGATATGTACACATGTATGCTTCTCAGTGGTTTAAGTCCCCAAGATTACTATAAGGGGCAGCATGCAATTTATTTTTTATAGCCAAAAGCATTGTAAATTATACATGAAAAGATATCTAAAAACAGAACGTACTACAGATCCACTGGGAGTAATTTTGAAATTCGCAAAAGATATAAAATTTGGAAAGTAGGAGCTAAAATTTACTGAAAAAAAACTTAAAAATTACCTGATTTCTTCATCAATATCCATAAATAATTTATGTTTCGTGTCTTCATCTACTTCATATTCCCAGGCCCAGATCTGATCTTGTGATTCACTTTAAATGGGTTAAGGACTTATTCACATGAACAGGGTCTAAATTTTGTTGCAAGAAAGAATATTTTGACACCAGGACAAATGTTTTGAGATTTTAACACCACTTTTGGTATTAAAATTCAGATCTAAGGAGCAAGAAAACTTTGACATTAAATTTTTATTTATTAAATTAAGGTGTTGATTTCTAGAAACTATAATGTGAATGAGCCAGGAAAAGTTTGGATGTTTCTAAGAGATACAGAAATTGACCCCAAGGACCTCCAAAGTGACCAACCGGAAACCAAGAAAGAGACTGAGAGATAGTCACTAGTCAGTTAATGACAGTAGTAATTAGGGTGATTGAAAGGCAACAAGTTACTATTGAACAGAAGGCACTGTCACAGGCTTAAAGCAGTATTCACTAATGTAATTAGTATTAAGTCTAACAAGTGATCAGTGGTCATATTCTCCAATACTTAACTTAAATAAAATCCAGATTTTAAGAAATACAGTAATCTGATTGGATAACAAAACTAAATTGACCAAGCAGATGACTGGAACACTAAAATCATTTTAAGTTAAGTTGTCAAGAATAAGGCACTAGGTAAATAAAACAAGTTATACCCTGTCAACACATCTAACCTATATGACACAAAACTCTGATTTTTACAGGTCACAAATGTTGTCAGCTACAAAAATTTAAAACTCTAATGAGACTTTTTGCAATAAAAATGCAGATTATTTATCAATTTTCCAAAAATATTCAAAATTAATATCAACTCTATCAAAAATACGAGTCCACATTACATTTTAAAGTAACTGACCCCTGGCCAAGTATTCTACACACGATCTTTTCAAGAATACGAAGCCAGGCTTGTAGGCCTACAGGACCAGAATCTTATGATTAAATATGTAACCATTTTGAGATAAATTTTACAAAGGATACAAAATGGCTGGGTGTTGAAGAGCATCAGCAGGTATAAAAATATCATCAAAAAATCCCATTGACACTGAAATATACAATAAAATGTCCTGTGAAGATAGGGCACAATCATAGGCGTACAGGATTAAGGCCTGTTGGAGGTTTGCCCGAAAATTTGAAAGGGTTGAGATGTCCGGCGAAGCACAACTCTGAACACTGAAGGCACAAGACTGTGATTTTTCTGTTTTCTAGCTGCTCCATACCCCTGTCTCCTACACCATGGGTAGGACTAAACACTGATATATGCCATAGAAACTTGTGATTAGAATTCAATGGTTGAATGGTTAATTGTTTACATTTCTTTAATAAGCCTTATTTCACATGGGATAGTGAAACCCAAAGTAGAGCTATACCGTAGCCTCTTAGGGTTTCACTATAGTTAGCTAGAAACAGGTTTTACATGACACACTTTGATTGGTTAAAAATAACATTATTAGAACAGAACTGTGGTAGAAAACCTGTTAGATTACAATAGAGATGTTAAATATCAGAAAAAAGAAACTAAATTGTAAAGTCATTTCAATTTGATTGAACTTACCGTAAACTCCTTCCTTGCTGGAACATTTTATTTTACCAACCAGGATCTCATCTATAAATGGTCGGAACACAACATAACGAAAATGTACTGAAAAATTTTTTATTTACAATAAGACAATGTAGTATCAAACATTGATGAAGTCTAACAGGCTATATGTCCCTAATACCTATCCTTGCCCGTGCCAGGCTATATGAATATCTCCTTGAAGGGGTTAACAACTTTCGAACTGTGTAAATGTCAAGACTTCTCTCTAACGCTGAGTTGGAACACTGTCTTTTTGTGGCAGTGGAATAGCTCAGTTTGTTGTGTTGGATTGCCGTGGGTACGTGTCCTCCTCAAAGTAAGAAAAATTATGATTCCTGTGCCAGTGATTCCGAGAGTGTGTCGGCTCTCACCTCCTAATACCTAGCCCTGTGTTAAGTTAACAACAGAATTTGAGAAATTTCCCTTCTGTAAAATCATTTTTCCAAATAATAAATTTTTGTTTTGTTGGAATTTTCAATAATCCAATGACGATATAAGGCTCACAGTTGTATTTTGGATGAGTTTTTCAAATTCATAAAAGGATATTCACAAAATCCGATTCTGTAAATATTGTGGACTGACACCAATTGACTGATCTACAACAAGATGACTGATCTACAACAAGATGACTGATCTACAACAAGATGTCTTGAAAGAAAATATTGTGCTGACATTATTCTGAGTCTTACCGTTAGTGTGTGTAGCTCCATCACCAGGAAAGATAAAACTATCTTCAAGTTTGACTAAATCCCATAAAGCTATACATAACCCTACATTATACACAACCTGTAGAAAGTCAAGAAATTTATTTAATACTGCTATATATCAAGGACACTGAAAATTCAGAGTAGTACAAATAAAAGTCCGAAGTGTCATGATGAACATCATAAAATTTACTTGGGCCTTAAAGGGATTATAAAAAGGTTTTGTAAACATTGATAGTACTGATGATTCTATTAGTGGAATTGCAGGAAACACCAACGTCTGATTGAAAATTGGAATGGTGCAAATTGCTGCTATTGAGACAGCTTGAGAGCAGGGATGTTGATTTGGCTCTATATGCCGGACATGACCGACAGGGCTGCTAAAATGACCGATGGTCAATATTCTCTATCGGCTCTCAAGTTGAGAGCATGGTAAATACTATTTAATAGAAGTCATTTACGAATAGAGCTTGATTGTTAACCAACAAGGCATTCCATTGGGAGAAGCGACAGAGGCTAAAACATATGATAATTTGGTTTGTCAATTTGGCATTGGTTCCTGAGTTACGAATTATTTCCATTATTATTACCTTATTGGCAAATTTTTTATTCAGAATATCCATAATGGCATCCGTTGTGTTTTCTTTAAACTCCCAGGGTGGAATCCTGACTGTATCTTTCATTTCACACAAAACAAACATCTTTATATCTTTACCTGTAATAAATTTCAATATCTAAAGAGACAAATTTGGCATCTGTTTGATCAATCACACCCTAGTCTCAGAAACGAAAGTTTTTTAGCTAAGCTAATCCGTAATAGTGTTCACAGTTCACTGTCGAAAGTTAAGTCAGTTTTTAGCCTAAACTAAGAGTCATTGTCATGTGTATTTACTAGGACAAATAAGTGCACTATTAACATACTTTTATCCATGTCCCAAGCCCAAAGACAACTCAAAACAAAATGGCATGAATATTATGAAAAATTCTAAACAGCCCCGTCACCAGGAATGAATTGATGCTGGGGCTCAGATGTTGTACTCCGAAAATTTGAAGAATTAAAGACCCAGAGAACTTATTTCTGACAATTTTGAGCTGCCAAAAACGTATCTAAATCTATACCTTTTTGATTTGTTCAAAGACACTGTAAATGAATCTCTGCTGAACTGAAGAAGGTTTTGCGGGGGCTTAGTTCTTCCTTGCTGAGGCCCAGCCACCACGGACCCCACCCTAACGACGGGGCTGATTCTATATTTAATATGAATATTTGTCAGTATTCACTGTTAACGGCGAGTGGTCTAATTCATAAACTTGTGTCTTTACCCATTAACAAGTGACCTCCCCCCCCCCCCCTTTTTTTTGTATCGATATGGATTATAGCAACCAAGACGTAATTTTTCTGAAATAATAGGTTAACAGCAATCACTTATACATACCGTAAATCAATTAACAAACGATAACAACGAATATCGTCTACATTTTAACTTAAAAAGGTCTCCGTCTTCAAAAACAGTCTTATGAAATTCAAAGCAACTTTCGATTTCCACCAGCGTGGTTTGTTTGCCATAAAATGGTCTGCACTAACAATTACGACATAGATCAAAAATAAATCTCATATTTTTCGAAATACAGAGAACGTAAATAGTACCAATTTGTAGAAGTTTATCAAATGGACCTAAATTGTCTTAATTAACTAAATTAAAAAAGTTATCGTGTGTTTTATCTTAAAAACATATTTCATTTGATGTCGTTTTTTGTTGACAAAAGCTTTATTTTGGCAAGATGGAAGTACACGTGTAAAACAAACTACATAATGATTTTCCAAGTTATTTTTTTGTTGGCAGTAAAAGATGTTTTCGGATCTCTACCGAGCGATGACGGTGGCTGGTAAGATCGTTTTTTTTTTCCATAAAAATTAGAATTTAAGATGTAAACATCAGACATATGGTTTCGCCTGTAGTCTGAAACGCTTACCTATTTTGAATTATCATCTGAAGATGGATGAGAATGTAAAAGTCTGCAGCTACTTGTAGCTTCTTTGTATTGTTGATAGAAGATAAACGACAACCGTTTTGGTTTGTTACAGTTTTAATTGGATACTCCATAGACTAGGGCAGGGGACTAGGATACAATAAGCCCTTCCAAATCCAAAGATCTGTTTGGCTTATAATTTACTGTTGATTTTCAGGAAAACAGATGAAAAAGACATGATAGCAAAACCAGGACCATGTAATATTGATGTAAGAGACTTTGATACATTGTCTCAAGAGGAATTTTTAGAGAGGTAAATTTTATTGCTACTTTGCCATGTTGTTATACTATGCCAAAAGTCTATTCTGAGAGGCATTAGACGCTACCTATTATTCATATCACAAAATCCCAGCATTGGAGAAATTTGATTGGCTGGCGCTATCATCAAACGGACAAATGTTCAAGAAGGCCATCTTTAGACCCCAACTGAAATGGCTATATTAAAAATAAAACGTAAGAAAAAACTGGACGAAAGTTTGGCCTAATTTTAATTAGACTGCAATGAATGCAGATATGTACACTATTTCCCCTCTAGTATTCTTACAATTGAAGTAACATAAGTACATATTTCGTTCTATTTTTATAGATATGCGTACACCAAACCCGTTGTTATAAGAGGTGCAACAGATAACACAGTGAGTAGACTTAATGCTTCAGTGGCAGAGCCAGGTTTATATCCGAGGGGGCGAAATCATTCTTATGCTTACCACACCTTTACAATGTCAAACTATTATGAACTTCGTCTTATACATTGACTCTTTACTATTATGAACCACATTGACTGCAATAGTCACCTTTCTTGTGTCATGAAATGCTAGTGGCGTATGGCTTAGTGTTTACAGGCCTCTGATTGGCTGTATTCACGAGCATATTAATTATCCGTTTCAGGTTTTTCAAGATAATTGTAGAAGAGATGAAATGTTGGAGAAATTTGGTGACAAGAGAATCAGACTGAGTTCTGCTAATACATATTCTTATAGTAAAGGTATGTTTATAGTCTGATTAGAATTTAACCAACCTTTCCATTTTTTATTAGCATTCATTTTAAGTATAGCCATTTCAGTTAGGGTCTAAAGACGAGCCTCTCAAACATTCGTCACAATAACCTTTTGACCTAACCCTGCTTTCACCTATCCAATTCCTTCACTCTCATAAAATGCCAGAGGTGGAGACAGCAGGAATTTGATTGGTTTAAGTCAGGTTAGATCAAAACTCAAAACGTTATTATGACGAATGTTAGAGAGGCTCACCTAACTGAAGTGGCTATACTCAAAATAAAAGCCAATGAAATGGGGAACAAAAGTTTGGTCTAATTTTTAATTAGACTGGATTTGTTTGTCAATTAGATTGCTAGTAATCCTAGCATTAATACATATCAGTGTCAGTTCAGGATTCAGGATTTCGAGATAAATGATAGTTTTTTTTCCCTATTTTACAGCTGATGTTACTTTATCAGAGTATGTAGAAAATATTTTAAAACCACAGAAACTTGGACAACTAGGAAATGGTGAGTAGTCATTTCTTCTGATACTGTCAGCACGATTAATTTCTGCTGTCCTTTTCAATTTCCAAAACCTTTCATGAGAAAGATATTGTTTTTTCCTGGTTTTTGATCTGTCCCAGAACTGTGGTTCGTATATTGTGTCGAGGTGGTGCGGCAGGGCCAATCAATGCAGAGCAACACAAGTTCTGTGAGCTAGGGGAAGGTTTGAAATTTAGAAGCCCAGAGATTTCATTTCTAATTATTTTGAGGCACCAAACACCTTATCAAAATATTCCATCTTTTTGGTTTTATCACGAAGGCACTACAAATTAATCAATCGGGGCTAAACTGAAGACAGTTTACGGGGCGTAGGGACTGCTCTGCAATTTTTGTGATTTGTTATCTCTTTTTTTTTATTTAGAAACTTTTTATTGGTTTGGAGACAATAACTACACAGAATGGGAAGAATTATTTAACATCTATAAACCTCCTCCCTACCAGGTTCCCAGAATGACTGGCGCTTATAGTTTTGGTATGGCAGGTAAATATGAACATGGTTTCAATGTGTTCAGGTCTCTAAGAGAGAGAAGGGGGGGGGGGATATATCTAGAGTTGCAAAACTATTTGACTTGACAGGTCGGTCAAGACATAGATGCCCACTTTCAATTGCCAGGGGAATGGATAATGAAATGGTGTCATGAGGGAAAAGGCCAGGACAGCGGCATTAGCCTGCTCTTTTTCGATTTCCAACCTTCGAGGGATCTTTAACGTGCACAGCCTGTAGTAAACAGGGCCTTGGTTTATTATCCCGACCGACCAGACACTTTTTTCATGTCAGCCCCTCTTACCTCCAACCTGCAAGTACATTTATTGTAGGATTTAAATTCATTTAAATAATTTAGGGGCCGGAACTGGTGTACCATTCCATTTTCATGGGCCTGGTTTTGGTGAAGTTGTATTTGGAAGAAAGGTAGGTCTTATTTTCAACTTAACTTTCAACTTAAGGCAGATCTTTTTGAATATTAGGTGGCACTTTTGACCAATTTTTACATAAAAAGTCATAGGTAAAGAAAGCTAATCCTAATAAATTCCAGCTTGGAACACCACAAGGTTTGTAAACTTGTCATCCCTTTGAACGATCCAACATCTTCTATAATGTTTATTTGATATTTTTCATCCGATAATTTCTCTCCAGTATTTTGTTTTTGAAGACGCATTCAACTACCATTACAATTGTGGGCGTATCACGATGGCTATCGTTATTTTTTAATATTTGGAGTTATTACGATATTATTTTTGCAGAGATGGTTCATGTACCCGCCAGAAAAAACACCTAGTTTTCACCCGGATAAAACAACATTACAATGGTTAACAGATGATTACAGTAAACTTCACCCAGATGATTTACCATCTGAGTGTACTATTAACAAGGGGGAGGTAAGTCTGTGAATTATTGCCCTTGATTTAGCCAAAATAAAGTAAAAATTGGCTTGTGTGTGCTGGAGAGACATGCAGTTTTGATCTGATTTTAATGAAAATTGGTAGATCTCTTTTGACTTTTTTTCAATAATAGTCAAGCAGATTGTGTAGCAAAATTTTATTATAGACACGATAAATATGCATATAGTAAAGCTAGTAAAATCTGTCAAAAGTACGCACCCTGTCTGGGCTATATTTTGTTTAGACTTTTGATAATAATAATTGCAATATAAGACTTCAGTAGGGATGCAGACTGAATTATATAGGTCAGTTGTCTGAAGATCACATAGCGTGAAAGTCTTGAGTAACATTTTGTTTTACGTACTGTTCTAATATTTCAGTTGATATATTTTCCTGACAGATGGTGGCATGGTACGTTGAATATAGACACCAGTGTTTTTATATCTACATTCCTGGCCTACACGTGATAGATACTGTTGGGGGGGGGGAGGGGGGTTGTGTTGCGGGTGATGGATGGCGGATTGGAAGGGAATGTTTGTGGGAGGTGGTAATTTTATATATAGATACCAGTGTTTTTATATCTATATTCTTGATAGATAATAGTTTATGTGTGTTGAAAGGTAGTTAAAGAATTGGGAGGGGGTGTTGGTGGGGCTGATGGAATAGAAGAAAAAGAGTAGATAAATGGTGGCTTGGTAAATTGAATATAGATATGATAGTCTTTATGTCTACATTCTTAGATAGATAGTGGATTGGAAGGGTGTCCAGGGGGCAGGGAAGGGGGGTAGGTTCAGCTGGTAAAAGAGAAAGGCAGGATAGATAGATGGGGGCAGTGTTAAAACTGTGTAAAGTGTGTGTGAATTTGTGCAATATAAATTGATGAAAGTGAAATAGATAAATGAATGTTTTTTGTATTTTCAATTTAAAGTGAAAATGCTGTCTAAAAATGTTATTGACGGCATAAATTATAGTAGAAAATGTATTAAGAGAGTACTCAAGGGAATAATCCAAAACATTCTCTTAATGGAGGTAGTCGCTAAGGAAAGAATTGGTCAAAATAAACAGAACTATTTTGATTTGATAGCCATTTTACATTGTTAGACTGTAATTTGAAAATATACAGCTAGAATAAAGGGTTACAAGATACAATATACTAAATAATGTTTGATTATATAATTTATTTGGAAAATTGTAACAAACTCTTATGATTAAAATATGTAATTTACAACCAAGAATAAAATGCATTATCAATTTTTATTTTATATTTTCTTTCCCATATTAAAGATTTATAGTGTCTACAAATTTGATATACCAGCTAATTGCATAGAACTGTATTTCAACTATCAGCAGGACCTTTTAAGTATTTAAATATGATGCCTGGTTCTTCTTAAAATCATAAAAACGTTCTGAAAATTTAGACAGTCTCGTCTCTGATGTTATTGGCTCATAACGCAAATAAACAAACGTAAGATCGCATCACTGCATAAGATTGCAAGCTTGACGTCTTTAAAGCCTCCTTCTCCAATTCCACTAACTCAAAAGTAACCATATTTTACATCATTAAAATCAGAGTTGATTCAGCTTATTAATGATACTTTCAGATGAATTTTAACTTCACACATTTCTGAGAAAGGACAGTTTTATGTCTAATGACGTCAAATTGGCTATTCATCCATATGATGTCGCCATCTTATCAATTGATGATGTAATTTACGTTATAAACCTTGCATTCAGTGTCTCAAAAACAAGGCGTGAAAAAGGTCTATTGATTTTGGAATAGTATCGAGGTTCTCACAAATTTTTCCTCATAAATTCATCGACTTACTAAAAGATTCACTAATATCTTCATCCAAAATAGATAAATTAGAAATTCTTGTAATCAACATTTCAATATCACTACTTTCCAAATGTTCCGACATGTTATTTGAAGAATCCATTTTAGAAAAGTCTTTGGAATTTTTCAGAACTTTCACAGAATTCCTTAATCGTCTTCTGGCTATGAATTCATTAATTGATGAAAAAATCACAGAATTTGTCACAACGATAGTGATGATATATGATAGTCGATACACAGACGTGAAACAGTATAACACGACGAACACTGCCGTTAAATAGAACGTCACTCCAAAAAACACAAATTTTCTAGTTCCACTTGACAAACTGAAAGTACACAATAAGGATAGTGAGATGTTATGTACCTTCAGATAGTGTGTTCACAAGGGGGGTAATTCCATAATCCTTTGATGGAAAATAGTTAAAGTTTAACTCATCCGTGAATCATGGTCCTCTTAAAAATTCGATTTTTCACAAATAACATAATTTTGAATTCTTCTTTTATATTATAGTAAATTTTAAAATTAACCTCTAGACTCAAAACGCAGCATGGATCTAAAACAGACGTTGATCCAAATTGCTCACAAAGAGCACTTCTCATAAACGAAGGCCAACTTTTGATAGTTATGGTGCCGATTGTAATTTATGCTGCACTACTGCGAGAGTGACGGACACAAGTAGCAAGGTAGCACTGATTAGTGGTATGAGATATACAGATTGTAAACAGTATAACATGACAACTAAAGACACTATATAATATAATCCTCCATATACAGTACTAGACAGGCTGAAAATAAACAACATAGAAACATCTTAACAATACTGGGGGTTTGACTCAAACTGAAAATTATTTACATCATTCCAATTTTTTAATCAGACATCTGTGGTTCCTGCGATTCCACTAAAACTAAGTGTTTGATGAAGATTTTCGTGGGAATTGCAACAGAATTTACCCAATAATTTTTCTACCAAAATAAAATTAATGACGAGAATATCATGTTGTGAAAGAAATAGTTAAATGTGATAAACGTCGTACATTGTTGCTAATAGAACATGGCCAAGACAACCTATTGCAATCTAATGACAAGACAAAATGACATGAAATGAATGGAGTTTTACGTCCTACTTTTCTGCATCATTATGTCACGGCAGACACAGCCAGTTTAAGAGTAAAAGAGTGCCACCTACCTGTATTTAGGTTGTATTAAAATATATATTAAGCTAGCTAGTGATAAAACACTACACGGAATACGGCTAGGATCATATCCCAATGATGAGGAATAACTGAAACAAACAGAAATTTACATCTTAAATGTTTGGAAGAAGCATGTATAAATGAAGTGACTCTTCAATATTTGCTTTTACGAAAATGATTGGACTTAGACAGTCAGTACAATGGAGTGTGCAATGAGGGAAATTTACCAAAGATTCTACTCAAGAAGTCTTTGACATGGGATTTATTCAAGGGATCTGCAACCTGCACGGTTGCGATTTACATGGTCGAATAATAATGGCAAGGTAACAAGCAGTAAAAAGATAGGTCTTACGTAGCTTGTAACATACATGGCTTTGCTGTATTGTCTTATCCAAATAAACAAGATGGTTTTTCCTAGTCAATCTTTCCGACCTGCATCACTGACAGGGAAAACAGGTTGAAAAATCTGAATGCAACTTTTCAACTATGCATATATAAAAAGTCAGACCTAAAGGTTAGGATAAGCCAGGGTCTAACTCACTCGACTAGCCCAAATATATCAAACATTATTAAGACTCACAAAATATCCCACCTGAGATTTTTAAACCAAACGACCATAAAAGGTAGATTAAGAAGTATATTCCATAATATTAATAATAATAGAAAAAATAAACTATTTAAACATTTTTCATCTTCTTTTTTTTTACTGGTATGGTAAATATGGAATGATCTTAAAACCTGAAAAAAAAAAAATATTTCTTAATTGTTTTTTTCCCCCTAAAATTAAGGAAAATATTCCCATCTGTAGAACCAACAAATATAACAAAACTTAGGGAAGATAATTCAATTTTAACTTTTGGTTAAGAACGGTTACATAAATACAAATGTGGTCCATATTAATCTGCAAAAATTTATAATTGGACATAGCATGCTTTATTTAATTTTTACAAGATTAAATACAGAGTAAAAGGGGTGCGCGTAAAACATGCTAGCGTATTATATATTTACAATTATATAGTATAAACATACTGTACAAATTAAAACTGGAGTGAGTGTAATATTCATAATTAAAACAGTACTTACATTGAATGTGATAAGTATATAAATAAGAATAAGACCAATAACACCACAATATATAGACGAGATTATTACACCTACTACTCCTATAGCTATCTCTAGTATAAAACCCACGGTAAATACAGAGTTTGGTACCCTGAAATCGTATCAAATACAAAATTTTATTTTTACAAATAACCATTCAATTTTACAAGCAGTATGTTTTATTATCAACTTTATTTGCATAACTTGCTGTTCCTAAAGCAACACTGAATAGCATAATCTGGGATCTTATTCTACAAAACTTAAATAAGATCAAATTCCAATTTGCAGAAATACAGTTATCTGATTGGATGATTTCAGAAATACAGTTATCTGATTGGATGATGAAACAAAATTTAAATTAATTCTAGTGATTGACCAATCAGATGATTGCAACACTTAATTCAAGTTAAGTTTTCCTGATACACTAAATATTATTCCAATGCCAATCTTTTCAATTGTTAAGTGCTTTTTCCACCTCCCCTTACAGCACAGATGCATGTAGAATCCAATCTTTACTTACCAAGAAAATAATTTAGCTGTGACTGTAGCTGTAAGTTTAAATATATAATAAAATAGAGTGGTCTGTAGATAACTAGTACCGAATGCTATAAGGTACAGTATAACAGGTAGAAATGGTGACCAGATAGCCTGGTCTAACAATGAATGACTGTCTTCTAATGGAATACCGTATTGTAACATTAGCTTCGTAATCTTGGGTATACTGAAATATAATTCATTCAAAAACTCAAGAACATAGCTTCACACTGAGATCGATTTTGCACAAAATGTACTGTAGGGCCAATTTGGATTTACGTGTAAATATTTTGTTGAATGGTAGGAGATTTGGACGTTGTAGGTTTATTTTGAAAATTATTTGCTTCATCAGCTAATAAGAGCTCAATTTCAGGTATCCATATTATTTTTTTTACATAAAAATGTGACGTCTGGTTATCAAATTACTGGTTGGTAAAACTATATAACTATATATGACTCTAGATATTTTGTTTCATTTTTTAATATGGGCTACCTCAATGATTCAAATGTCTATGAAAGATTAAGAATTAATTTAGTACACATCCAAGTAAAGATAAAATTTGTTCCAATGTTATTACTATATACAATATAGATATTTTGTTTCATTTTTTAATGTGGGCTACTTCAGAGATTCTTATTTCTGAGAGAGAAATTAATAATTACCTGAGGATATATCTAAGTACAGATATTACTGGTAACACGATATAGGGTTTACAACTCTTCCATATTATATCTTGAGGTCTGGATACCTCTTTACTTTCTGTAATAGATACATTTTGTAAAACATGAAATATAATTGAATTCTGGACCTCTATTATAGCAAAATCATCAAGGCATCACAGCTTCTCTTTTTCAAGGTTAACTTGCTTGCTTTAGTTGAAGATTTAGGTAGCGGGTGCTAACATGGAAAGCAACATCTAGTCGTTCAGATTGGAAGCTTCGTGCTACAAAATACTTATTCACATATGATTGATATACTTCCTCATGTGAAAGGTTCATTAGCTGCTAGCAATATTTCATCAATATGTTCTTACAGATTTCTGATTTGGTTTTGTGGTTCGGATCGTTAGTACTTGGTTTATTTATTTTTACCTGTCCTCATTAGCCCATTCAAGTTTAAGAAGTAAATATCTTTTCGTTTTTGCCCATGTAGAGTTTCTCTGATAGATAATAATGTAATTTTGATAACTTACCTGTCACTTCTGATAATAAATACCCCACACTTATCAATATGACAGCTATAAATGATGCAGGGAATAAAACTCCATAGAATCGTATTATCTGAAATAAAATAAAATTTAAATCAATTAATTTTTGACCATAGGTTGTTTAGTAAGGACTACCGAAGAGTTGAGCTTTTTTATGAACTTAATGATAAGATATTCCAAAACTGAGAGGGACCATATGGGAGGGACGAAGCCAGGCCAGCCTCATATTTGATGTGAATAAGAGGTCTAATGATAAAGAAGTAAGAATAGCAAATTCATTCAGAGTGGCTGGCAATTAAAACAAAATCAGGATTCCTGATATATATCTGTCTACTATTTTTTAACATGAAATTTTAGCTTTAATCATACATGACTGGCAAATACTACCAAAATAACAACCCTGATACAAAAGATCTGTGTACCAGTTTTTTAAGGTGATATAAAAGGTTTATTGATCTGGCAGTAAAAGACATACTGTAGATGTTGATAACTCCCAGTCATCTTTCAGCTTTTATCATACAAAACAGCATCCCTGATACAAAATAGACCGATATAGATCTATGTACCAGTTTTTTAAGTTGAAATAAAAGGTTTATTGATCTGGCAGTAAAAGCTATCGGAATCTAATAAATAATCAATAACAGACGAGGTTACTGTTGTTTTACTATAAATAAATCAATATAAAACACAATAAAACCAATCAATCAGTATTGATTAGCTGATCACTATGATTGGACCACCTTTCATTATATACATAGTTGATCTTAGCAACCAACATCTCTCTGTCCATTTTAATATTGATTCTAGAGACTTTAGGCCAGGTTAAAACTCTGGTTTGCTTTCAAATGCAATGGAGTTTTAAGAACTATTTGTGACCCGAAATGAGTCACATGGGGCAAAATGGAAGTATTGAGTTTTAAGCTTCAAAATGATACCAAATTATTTAAATTATCTCAAAAATTGACTGATTTATTACACTTTTAGTACAGATATTTCTCCTGCTCAAAATCAAATTTTTGGGGGGAATTCAGCTTAAAAGTTATGGTTTTGAAGTCCATAGCAACCAATGTCTTAGGAGCATAAAAACAAGAAACAAAGGTTGTAGCTGGTTTCAAGTTCATCCAAAATCACCCCACTTGACCTTTGGAGGGCCGCAACTCAAAATAACTATGTGTGACAAGCAACTGATTTTTCTGAACCCAATTTGGCTAATGAAGCAAGGCAGCGGAGGAATGAGCTAATTAGACAGATTGGCAATGAGAAACAGTTTCAATGTGTAATATTTTATAGGACAGCAGCTTTTAGATTTCCAACTCTACTGCACAGTCTGTGACACACTAGGCATCAGTTTATTGACACATCCAAACAATTAGACACTTTTTTTCATGTCCGCATCTCTGATAGTTTGTTTTCAATTCTAGACATACATGGATTGAAGGTTCAAATTTTTGACGGTGAGCTATGAATACTATTCCTGATAAGCTTAGCTAAACAATTTCTGTTTCTGAGACTAAGGTACGATTGGTCAAACGGATGATGAAACGGTCTCTTTAACAGATTTTTTATGATGAAAAACATATTATTTTTTATATGTGGCCTATTTGGTGACTTTAATTTTCTGGACTTGATACAGATACAGTTCTATAGATACGTTGGTATATCTTCACATGGTGGGATATTTCTATTGAACATTGAGATGTAAAATGGACTTTTGTTAAATTAATCTTTATGTGTTTTTAAAGTAAGTATAATTCAATTCTAAGACTAAGATATTTTTACAGCTATACCATTTTGATGGTTTTTAGCACAATAATCAGTAGCTAGCACATACTTTTGATAGCTAGCACATACTTTTGATAGCTAGCACATACTTTTGATAGCTATTTTAGCAGTTAGCGGATTTGACAAATTTGCTGACCTACAAGGCTTCTTAAAGATATTTTTATGGCCAAAGGTTTGAAATTTCCTTATTTTATTTTGCTTCTAATAGCTTTTCGACATTTATCAGCCAGATAAAAACTGGCTAACTATTACCTTGTCTCTGAGAGCTATTAAGGACAATTATTGGCCAGCTAGAAACTTGCTGACTCTTACCTAACCTCTGATAAATAAGTTCTGTAAGTCATTAGGGAAAAATTCTGACTCATACTTAGTCTCTGAAAGGTTATTATGGTCAATTGTCAGTTAGCTAGAAACTTGTAAAATATATTTTTTTTCATCTAACTTTCTGTATTGAGGTCAATGACCTTGAGTGAATAAGTTTCTATTGATGAAAAATGACTGAATGAAAGATTAATAGACCTTAATAACACTAATCTGTCTTAATCCCTCAAGTTAATCTCTTAATAAAGGCTGGGCAGGGTTAATTTAGGTTAATCTGTGACAGTGAAATCAGGACACATGTTTAAAGAAAATCGTTTCTTTTAACTTATGACTTGAAATTATATAAAACATGCTTTTTAAATATTTTTGTGTGGTCTTTACTAGTCATTTTAAATATATTGGCCCTCATTATCATGTTACTTAGTTGTAAAAGATCCCTTGACAGTTGAAAACTTAAAATTTGAAGGCTAATGCAGCAAAATTTTCCCCATAGCACACTGTATGGCTGTGCCTGTCTTCATTAGCCTATTCAGGTGCAGAAAAGTAGAATTTAATTCATTTCCATGTAATTGTGGTGTATCGGACTGAATTCTGACCCTTGTAAAATAAATATTTTGATCATGGCCAGGTATATGTAAAAAATTTTTGTGATCAGAAATAAAATTCACAAAATTATATCAGAATTATAGAAAAAACTGAATAAAATTAATATATAAGAACAGATTGACAAGTTTCTATTCAAATTTTGTTTTTGATCGAAATGTAAGCTCCTTTATTATTAGCATAATGAGATCAATGGAAGCCGGGCTGACTGTGAATATGGCAAAGTTTCAACCCAGATTTCTCCTGGGATAAAAACATAAAAACAAGTATTATATAGTGATATTGACTGGCTATTACTAAATATTGGGAAATATGTTATTTAGTCATTCTGGAGTTTATATTCTCTACCAAATATTGTTTAATTTTGAACTGATAATGTGCTTTGACAAGTGTGTGGATTTATGTTTGAACAAGAATCATTTTAATTCAAGGTATGACTGTGTTTAATTTCATATTTAACATGATGATATTGAATTCTTAATAAAAAATGGACATTAACTAGTTCTTACTTTACATTAATAATTTAATACTCTGAAGGATTCATATTCATTAAAGTTTCATTTTAAATGAAATGAATGGAGTATTACGTCCTACTTTTCTGCACCATGTGGTTGGGCAACACCATGCAGGGTACAATGAGGAAAATTTTGCCAGGACAGCGGCATTAGCCGGCTCTTTTTCAATTTCCAACTGTCGAGAGATCTTTAACGTGTACAGCCTGTAGCACACCGGGCCTCGGTTTATTGTCCCATCTGAACGACTAGATGCTTTTTCCATGTCAGCCCCTCTTACCCGCATCACTGACAGGGGTATTTTCATTCTAAATGATAATGTGCTGCAAGATTTTTTTTTTAACTTATCTATGTATTTATTTTTTGGGGTAAGACTTTGATTAAATCCATGTTTAATAATTTCTAATTCTTAGGAAATGGTCTAAATTGGCATATAGACATCATACAATATTTTGGATTTATTTCAGGGTATCACAATGTGAATTAATTGGGAGGTCTTTTTTTTTCAGAATTTTGCATGTCCCATGTAAAGTAGCGTTCAATTGTTTTAGAAAGTTTACTTTCATAATTATGTATTTATATGAAGTGGTGAATTTGGTCATTATCTGAATCGCTTACAACCTAGAATACATTTTGTGTTTTGTATATTTTCAGATAAAGTTAAAAAATCTGCAACAAATTTCTCCAACAAAATGAACGAGAAACTATTGGCCCATCATACGAAACTGTTTGATTGGTTTGAACTGGATAAAATAGCTAAAGATAATTTATCCATCGAAAAAAGTTATATGACGCCAATAAAAGCCAATGCTGTTAATTCCTGGAGGTCGGAGGTCAATCGTGTTTATAGCAGAGCGCCCCAATCGGCTCATCAATTGGACAAACGAATACATCACAGCGCTCCTCATGGTCGTGAGTTAGAATCTTCCGTCAAACTCAGAACCAAGTCAGCCCCTTCCAAACAGAAACATCTGCCAAATCCAAGTTTTCAGAAACTTTCTTTAGAGGAAAGAGTCAATAACATTTCAATTCATTATAACGCTGAGAGGAAACAGAATTCTGCTCGCGATTCAGAGACTACTAAAGAATCTATTACACCTTATCGTCCGACGGAACCAAAAGCACTGTTACTAATTTTAGCGATGATAGTTTAACATCGGAAGAATTGCCAGAAGTTATCCCCCCTGTTCGTACATATAAACCTCATATATCGATGCGTTCCGATTCGAATCAACTATTGAACTATCTAACAGTAGATGATTGTAGAGTTGCTGCGAGATACAAGCCTCGGCACGATATTAACTATATCGCTACGTATGACGAAGAGAAGGCTATAGACGGTTCAACGAGACTTCCTGATGATTCCGGCTGCTCTGAAGAGACAACAGAACTTCCAATGAAAATGAGTACAGGGTCCGTGCTGACGACTTTATCATCACTAAAAGAACAAGATCAAATGTTCCGAGCGTTGTTAAAAAAGAAAAGAAAATTAGAAGCTGTAAAATCGAGTAGTTATCATCGAATTATAAACAATTTAGAAACAAAACATAAACTACCTGAAGCTGATAAATTAAACCTGGAAATAGGAGCGGAATTTAAACGAGGTAGCCATTTTTATCGGAAAATTAATTCAGCCTTGCATAAAAAGATTGATAAACTAGTGAACGCTAAAAAGGAGAACATGCGAGGAATGATCGTGTGAACAAAAGAGTCAGACGACAATGACAACCTTTCCAAACACCCCATATACATAAATCAAAGTGCTAAATAAAATACATAGCGAATACTAATTCAGTACATTAGATTGGATTTATTCACTATTATGAATTGAAAGAGTAACCCTCGGACAATACTGTAAATAAATATATAGGATGTTATATAAGTTGAGGAAATATATAATCTAAGTGCTAATAAAAGTTCATGTACGTGACGTGAAATACGAGGCCAATTTTGAAAAAATACATGCAAGTTGAACGGCAATTTCCTGTTATATGTGGTGATATTACTTGCTACCCTCCGCTGTTTAATTTCATGGGGATATATATTTTTGGTAGGTATTCATGAAAGCTACATTTTGGGTTATAAAAAGTAATAGAGGAAGGGGCATTTTAAAAAGGAACTGTGTGGAGGGGGGGTGGGGGGGTTACAAAAATTAACCATTGGGGTCATAAAAAAAGTGACCTACCTGACCGAGGGTATCAACAGGGGACAATCTCAGTCGTAGCTGATAAAAACAGGAGGGATTAAGATACATCTCTAAATGTACAGCTCCACCAGTAAAACTATCGGGCCTTCCACTCTGTAGTTTTACATCTAAACTTCCCTTTTCATTGAATCTAAAAAAAAATTAAAGAATGAAGCCAATATATTCTATAACAATTCTAGCAAAAAACTAGAATACATTAAATCCAAAGATGAAAGAATTATGAAGGGCTGTAATGATGGTCTTTTTTCTATAAGCCCAAACTGTCTTATGACTTTTTATGTATATAACCTTTACTGTAGACATCAAATAAGCCATTAAGAAACAACAGTTTTTATGGATAAAGACTTCTATTTATTATTGAACACAACGTTACATTACACATAAGGGTAACGTTATCAAGTGATTGATAATAATAATAAATAGAAGTCTATATCCATAAAAACTGTTGTTTCTTAATGTGCTTTGATACTTCTAAATGTCTTACAAGGATTTTCAAATAAGCCATATGATTAGAAAAATTCACATATATTTTTAATTTTTTTTTGGTCAAATTTGGCATGAGGCATTTGCATTGATGTGGTTACCAGATTATGCCTATACAACACTGCCAGTCACAAACTCTGCTGAATGCTCTGTAGTTAGACATATTAGATACTTACCTAGTGTAGGAGTAGATTGTTTCATTAGACCAGGGAACATTTAAACTAAATACACTCCCTTCATCTCCTATAAACAAATAATGTAATAACTATGTCATATGTAATAAACACAAATAGCTATGTAGACTCTCTGAAAGAGATACAGAGTTGACAAACCTAAACACCAAACAAACCTGATAAGCTATGTAAACTCTCCAAAAGTAATGACTAAAATTGTGAATCCAAGAGAGTGCACACAAAGTGATGATTTAAAGTTTTAGCTCAGTCTAAATGAAATGTTGTTCACCTATTTTACTGTGGCATTCATTTCATAAGAAACAATAACATTACCTACCTTTATGAGCTAAGAGACATTTTCTAGGTTTGATATCAGCTATATATGCAGTTAGAGGGGTGTGAAGACCTGATAGATGGAGACTATAGTAAACTGTTTTATTAGATATCTGTAACATTGCCGAGGCGTCCATGATAGCTATAGGGTAGGATATCATTGTATCGTAGAACCCTGGTAACGTGTAGACTAGATGTCTGTTGATGCTGGCATACAGTTCAACTGTTACTTCTACCTGTAATTACATTTAAACATTGAAAGTGCTGACCATGGAAGCACAAATTGTTTTTCATTGGAACTAATAGGATCTCATTGTAACCAATGATAATATTGATAACAGAAAGTTCTCATATGATAGGCCTACTCATTTAATATCAAGTAGCCAATTTTTAGATTTTTCTAACACTACCTTTTTTGATTTCATATTACGCACATATTATCTGGGTCTCGAATATAATAAACTTACACGATGTTTGGCTGGTTCAATGATGATAACAACATGTGATGCTTTCTCATCTAGGTCATCAAACAACTCTCTTAAAATCTAAAATAAAATATTAAGAATGCTTTCAGTTTTTACCCAAGGCTTGAGATGAGAAATTACAAAATGGAATATTGTGATAATTAAATCAGGTATTGAACAAATTAAATGTCATTCCATGATGAAATTTTCATTGAGCTAATATGTGCCAGTGGAGAGTCTTATGATGTCATATCCTCGGTTACGCCAGAGAGTGTGGTTGTTAGCGAGTAAGGTGAAAATCTGATGACCTTGGACAAGTCAACTCCTTATCTTGTAAAGAAAGAAACAATCATTTTTGGAATAATGAGGAAAAATGACTTATTCAAAGTCACAGGTCTTTCACATGCCAATTGAGATTAAAAAGAGGTAGGCTACTCCAGCAATATATATGAAATATTTTGTGAAGGAATGATGAGTTATTGCCCCTGTTATTTAATAAGTAAGTGCTTACCCGTCTGTTATAATTTTTGGCGGGAAGAAGTCTAACTTTATCAGAAATACTCTTACATGTTTTACTGAAATATATAAGATAAATGAAAAAGAATTGATCACATTTTTTGGCGCTAGAAAAAGATAGATAATGCCATGCAGTGGGCAATGGGAGAAATCTTGTGAGGATTATGCTTTTTCAGTGTAAATCTTCAAGGGAAGTTAATAGTGAAAGACCTGTAGCATACAAGGCATTGGTTCATTGTCCTTTTGAACAACGATACTTTTCGATATCAGTCACCTGCCAGTAGTATCCAAGAAAAATCAAAGGTTCTGACTCTGCTTGTGCCTTTCTAAAACCTTGGACTGCCGAACATACAATAAGTAAAGAACAGTTCAATAAAAAAATTATGACTTAAAAAAGAATTGAAAATTCCCAATCTTACCATCGTTTTTCACCAACATTAACTATACAGGTACAAATCCAATCAGTATGAGACTGAAATCAAAATATTGTCAAAGATTAAAATAACACAGTCAATATTGATATTTCAATTTTAAGTTTATAATGGATATTTGCATAACTATTACAATTGATCTACTTCTACACAATAGAAGAGGTTTATATTGCTGGCAAAATTCCCACTAGATAAAACAGTGTATGACATTGGCATTTTCTATGCAATTTATACAAAATTTAGTATTTTTTTCCTCTCCACTTCTAGCCATATAGCTTTAAATTTCCATTTTCTTAGAATACAGTAATAGATGGTAGAATGTTTGAACCAACTCCAGCCATATACCGGTACCTACCACGTTTGCTAAGACTAATAATGTATTCTCTGTATCTTCAATGAGTGGTACTGCTATATATTGAGTTGATGTCACCTGAAATTCAAATGATTTACAGGTTTTTTAAATTTAAACCTCTTTAAGGGAAATCATCTTCTATAGAATGTTTTACGTACAACAAATTACATTATTTGTTTGAAACTGCATTCTGATTACTGATTTCTAATTCGTATACTAACAGAATGTGGTGGTCATAAACTTGTACATGATTAATTGTTAATGACACTATTAAAGAACAAACGTTTCTCGTGGTGAGCAATTTCTCCTGTTTGTGTGTAGGACTGTATAGTATATATCCAATAATACATATCTGAATTGATATACCGGGTGCAAAATAGTAATAATGGGCTAAGAAATTACAAGATAGCTTGCCAGGCAAGGTAACAAACACCTGCAATAGCAACTCAAGAATCGTTAAGTTTATTTCAGTTAATTCAATTTTAATCCCATATGAGTTAAGGGCAATAAATTTTTATGTGGGCGTATAAAAAGGAGATCAAATGCCATGAAATATAAGTCTTACTTTGGGTTTAGCGAATTTCCAATAACTCCCAGTAACTTCCTCCCATGGTACTTTATCATCTAGAGTAATGTCCCTTGGTTTAGATGCTGTATATGACGTACCAGGGTTCGTTATAAAATGATGTTTGAATATTCTCATTCTCTCATCTGCATCGTTCATCACCTACAAACAAAGTGGTTGTCCTAAGATAAGCAGATGAAATAACACAATGATTTGAACATCATTATAATTGAAATTAGACCAAACTTTCCTTCTTTTTTTAATTAGCTTTTATTTCTGATATAACCATTTGGCTGTTAGACTTATCAAAACACCATAAGCTATGGTAATAAAGCAAGGCATGTTATATTCTTGTAAGAATGGCTATTTGGAATTGGGCAGAATAGAAGATAAGAGTTTCCCCAAAACACAATAAAGGCTTTATAACTTTTTTGAAATCTTTTAATAGTGATTGTAAAGAGGTTTCCTACATTTTTTATGTGTATCTGGACCACTGAGTGATTTGGTCTACTTCGAAACCTTGGAGAAAAGAGTCTAAGATATTATTAAAACGTTTAAGATAGTGATATTTTAAAATGCTTAGTTTTATTGGAATTGAAAAGCCTTTGGACGACTTTAGAATGGTGCAAATCAATGATATCAATGTCCCCGATACACACAACAATTTAGAAAACCTCTTTACAATCTTTTAAAGAATGAGGTATATCAGTAATGATTAGGCTATGTACCTGTTTAGTATTGGGATCTATAATATCAAACAATGCTCGGGTAGTCACCAGTACTATTTGTCTACACCTGTAATTACAATACATAATAAACATATAAACACAGACATAAAATAGAATAGAAGCCAACCCACATTTTCCTATTAAAAACACAATATTGAGACTGATACAAAAACATTAGCTGTCAATTTTAAAATAAAGACCAAAATATACTTGTGAAAATCTTCGACTACACTCTGTCATAATATTTAAATGAGTAAGCCCAGCCTTCCCCTGTCACCCACAGGATTCCAACACTGAATACTACTTACCAAACTGCACAAAGATGGTCTGTAGAAACAAATGCCTTAGGTATTGACATAGTCTAAAATATAAGATATTATAGGATCTATATATTATCTGATGATGATCAAAATGTTCCCTATGTACAGGGAATAAATTACATCAAGGTACATTTTGATAACGTCCATTAATGAAATTTAAACCAATGCACAAGTCAAAACTAAGTTTAAAATTCAATGTAGATCATAATATATCTATGTTTAGTTGGATATATGAAGTGATAGAAATAAAAACATCAGAAACTTACACATGTAGCTATATGACGATCTGGTATGACAATCTGAAAAAAATAAAATAATGATAACTGATAGCAACTAAATCATTGAATTCCTCAAAAATATCCACACAGTTAACAACCTCTAGGATCTAGCCTGCCCTGGCATTGGTAAAAACCAACAAAACAAACTTTATGTGGGGATATCAAAAAGGGGCATAGCCCAATACTTACGTTGTCCAGTGATGTTAAACCATTTCTAACTAGAATATCTCTATAGCCCCCACCAGTGCTTACGACAGTGACATCACGTAAACTACCCTCACTGTTCTCTACCCAAAAATCATTGACTGTATCATAGAAATTTATCAACCTCTTCTCTATATGAGTTACTGAAAGATAAATACAGAAGAAATAAAGGTGGTCTCTTATCATTCCCTAATTTGTTTTATTTAATTAAAAAATGAAATGAAATGAATGGAGTTTTACGTCCTACTTTTCTGCACCTTGTGGGCTAATGAAGACGGGCAACGCCATGCAGGGTGCAATGAGGGAAATTTTGCCAGGGCAGCGTCATTAGCCCGCTCTTTTTCGATTTCAAACTATCGAGAGATCTTTAACGTGCACAGCCTGTAGCACACCGGGCCTCGGTTTATTGTCCCATCCGAACGACTGCATCACTGACAGGGGGAAACCGGGTTGAAAAATCCGAAGGTATCATCTCGACCTATGCCGGGATTGAACCCTGGACCTTCAGGTTAGCGAGCAAGCGTCTAACTCACTGAGCCAACGCGGCTCCCTTTATTTAATTAAAGAGGGACTTTATTATGGTTGCATATTAAAGGTGATTGCTTAACGAGGGTGATTGTTTAACGTTTAACGAGGGTGATTGTTTAACGAGGGTGATTGTTTAACGAGGGTGATTGTTTAACGAGGGTGATTGTATGAACAGTAATCACTGTACATGAAACTTAAATCAAATACAAAGTTAAGGAATGAATGTTGATCTTAAATTATGTGGATTTGATGTTTCTAATAGAAAGAAATTTTTTTTAATAAAGTCTACAATTGGTTCATAGATAAAGTATCATTAAACAGATAATTGACAGTCATAATTATCTCACCAAAGCTTCAAAGATGTGCATTATATTCAGGTCGCAATATAACTATCATGTGACATGGCAAAAACTTGTAAGAAGAGAGGATCACCCAGAATTTTCTTGATTACTGAGGTACATTCAGCAGGGTTGGGGTTCTATAATACATACCAGGTGATTGATGAGGAGTAGATTGTGTTATTATTGTATTTACATGGTTTATATTAAACTCTGATAGAGTAAATAAAGCTCTAGCAATAACACCACCCTAGAAAAATAAATCAAACCATTAAGAAAATACCAAATAAACATATTCTTTGACTAACAAACCAACCCTTCCAACATGGATTACTGATAGGAGGCAACTGGTTAAAAAGATGTTTAGGCCTAGGACAGGATTTATCACCTTTGTTAGCATGCATATAACACTCTTAAACAAAGCAAAAACTTCAGTGATTGACAACCATAGAAGTGTCATAAAATGAAAATCTTCCATTTAAGAATTCTTTATCATGGATCTTTTACGAAAAGAATAGGTCCAAGTAGTATAAGGTTTTATAAGAGAAACTCTCTTATAGAAGCACTTTCCAAGGTATCAAGTAGAGACACAGGATTTCAGCATTGGAATACATCAATCTGATAGGAAATTAGTAGTATTTAAGTTAAAAAATAGATACCAACCATAGAATGACCGACTAAAATAACGGATGAAGGTGGAGATTTACTAGATTTATAGAAACTTAATATCTTCTTGATACATTCATTCACAAATTCTGGTAAAAAATAAAGAAAACAAGATGTTAAATTATTGCATATCATAAGGATAGAATATTTTGTTTACAGGTTGTATGTACCATTGTCAGATACAATTTGAGCACACCTTTATCATAATGTACCAGACAAGTTTAACTGGACACAATTATACAGATAACAATTACTTTAATAAATAACTTGTGAAGTTTCTTCGACGATCATGCTTTCGTCTTTATCAAGCAATGATCATCGAAACGTCACAAGTTATTTATTAAAGTAATTGTTATCTATATAATTGTGTCCAGTTATTCATACCCCAGTAACTAAATGCCACTCAAGGAAGTTACCAGATAAATTGTCGTTAACTTGGCATCCTGAAGCCTGCAATTAGACTAATCTATTTCTTAACTGTTTTCTTTAAAACAAAATGCGATTACAAAGCCAGAAATGAACAGATATCTAAAGTATATTTATAAATGAGGCCCCATAATGCAGAAGGGCATGCTTATTTTTGTAAATCTAATGAGGGTAAAGCTTTTTCAAATCCAAGGTCATTGGTGGAAGGTCATTAATATTAGAATACCTGTTTGATCTTTTAAAACTCCACCATACAGACCAGAAAATTCCTAAAAAAGTTAACAAGTCTTATTCATAACAGAAATCTGCAGAAATCAGCAATCTGCTGTCCCGCACAAAAGAAAATCACGGAGCTTTACAGAACACTTTTCTACTCCTGAGTTTTGTCAACATTAATCATTCAAAATTTGTTTAATAATTTGTTTTCTGCTCTTCAATTTCACAATTTGAATTTAAAAAAAAAAACATGCTTACCTCGTTAAAATCTATTGAGAAATAATTAAACTGTATTTTATTTTTGATATTTTCTGACTTTCTTAATGACACCGAACCCAGCGATCTCACTGAAAATAAACAAAATATTTGACATGTGAATGTGAACAATAATAACAACACAATGTGAAACAAGCACTGAAAATTTTGGCCTACTTTTCTTCATCATTTCAAGCTTTTGAAGACGGCTTAAGGCACAAATAAATATTAAAACGAGATATATCTATGGCAATATACTTAAACACTATCAGAAAAAGATGGTTGCCAGACATCGCACATTTCACACTTTTTCCTAACACTGTCCCATAAATTGTCATTATTTGTGAATTATTTTCCATTTGTTTAATGCGTGGAATAATGGAAAATTCATTTGGAAGAAAATAATGGCATTACCTTGTCTGTAACTGCCAGCATTACCAGGAATAAATAATACAGGAACTCCATCTAACTTCAGGCTTCTACAATAAAAATATCAACATTCTGATTTTCTGAAGGCACCATCGGACAAAAATTCACATCCAGCTATGCGTTTACACATAAAGTAGAGCAGTGTACCATAAAAATAACTACTTATACTTCCACAAAATAAAGCAAACTGCTTCAATTAATTCAAACCTGTCAGGAGATATATTCCTCTAGGCCACTTCTTGAAAAATTTAGACTATACAAGTCAATGTACAGGCTGTAATGATGTATGTCTTGTGTAATCTATTAATTGAGATCCCTTTGACTTCAGCCTACCTGAGACCTTGGCCTAGCTAAAAATATTATTTCCATTTATAAAGGGATAGTGAATAAACTTTTAACTCAGCGGTGTATCAAAGCATCAGACAGAAAATTTTGAGAAATCATCAACATTTATTTACCTTATTCTGCCAGCGTAGGATCCCTCTCCATATAAATAAAGGTTATATTTAGGATAGGCTTCAGATACTTTCCTTCCAACATCTACTTTCTGAAAATACATAATCATAAAATATTAATCAAATTTTCTTCAAAGAACATAGTTGTGAACCAAGGAAGTTGACAAGCCTTTTCGATATCGGGTAATTTCAGTACAAAACTATGACATACCCCAAATTTGGTCATTTCTGTCATTTAGGCACTTTTTGGCTTTTAATATTTTTTTTAACCCAGACTCATTAAGTTATTTAAGGGATCTTGTCATTTAAAAATTTACTTTACCAGCAGAATGAGACTATATTTAGCAAAATCAGAATCTAAATCCCACAAAAGATTCTCCTACATTTTAAAAAAACATAATGCATAAGTTAAAACTGTATTCGTTTTCAGGGCTTTATTAGGATCTCTGCATGCAGTTATAACCAAGTAATGATGTCATAGCCTACTGCTCTGGGGGTGACAGTTATCTAAAATGTCATAGACAATAAACATTAGTTTAATTGTACAAGAACTGAATGTTAAACTTAAATTCTGAAATGAGATTTGGACAACTGTGGTTGAGTTGTATCAGCTAGAAAAGTAAATATTTTGTGGTCAGTATCCCTTTAAGTTTAAACTGGTCGCTTACCAAATACTCAGGATATTCATACATCCAAGTCATTTCACAGCCATTCTCTTCGTGTAGCTTAACATAATCAAAAATCCCTACTCCAACTAAACCGACAATAAACAAGGACACGACAAGCTTTAGTATGTCTGACATGATGGTTAAAAGTGCAGCAAGTCTAAAGTGTGATCTTCATGGAAGTCGCCATCTTCTTTTACGGAACAAGCCGAATCACGTTATTCGGCTATTTACGTCGTAGTCGCGGTTTAAAGGTCTTTGAATTGAAAGAAACAGACGTCAGTCTGGATAATCTCCGTTACTTTCCGTACACGTCCGTAAATATTCCAAGATGGCGGGAAGTGTTGACCAGTATGACGCAGCTCTCCTCGGAATTTTGCAAAATGAAGGGAATATATCCAATTTTCTTCAAGTTATGTTTGGATTTCTCTTCCGAAGGTATTTGTCTACAAATAAGATTCATAAATCCAAATATTTTTGATGAAGAAACGCCTTGATTTGGCTTCAAAATTTTTACCTTCGTCTACTTTCATTTTGTTAAATGTCAACAAACCGCAAGTAGAGGAACAATTCTGACATTTCAAATGAATCTTTTTGCTTTTATGATCCAGGCTACTGTTCTGTATTGCAGTATGGCTGCAAAGATCTTCTCTTGAGATATCTATGTCTATGGACAAGGGAAGCAATGAGTGAAGATTTTGAAGGAGGAGGGGGTGGGGGCAATGTTGCCATGGTTATTAGATCTAAAAAAAAAGTTCGGCTGGGCTTTGTTTTATGTGTCTGAAATTGGACAAATGTCAAATCAGTAGCTAACTGAAGATATTACAAAAAATAGTTTCATGAATGCTTTAAATTAAGCAAAGTCTGAAACTGTTTTTTGAGACAGTTTTATTTTACTCGTTTCTGAAGTTGAAGTAGGCTTACTGATTTAATTTTTCATTTAAATTATTTCAGAACTGATTTCTATTTGATTATGAAAGGTGAAAATGATAAACTGGGATTTCCACAAGGAATGGCTGACAAGCTTGTCTTGCAGGTTAGTGCAGCAGTGCTCGTGATATATCATTTAGCAGTAGATAATCAGAACACAACACTCAATAGATCAATAAGGTACAGAAGAGTAAGATGCCAAGCTATCCAATTAAAGAGATTGTAAAGAAGTTTTTTAAAAGTTTCATGCGCATCAGGGACACTGATTGCATCAATAAGCTCCATTCTAATTTTTGAATAGCTCAGCCAGTTACAGAACATAAGGATAAAAAGTACATTTCATTTCATGTTCAAAAATTGTCATGTTATGGTAAATTAATATATTATTGGTCGTTCCTGTGATTAAAATCTTAAATGTTTTCTTACTTTCAGACACACAAATTTTTTCAAAATCTGGCTGCAGAAAGAATTGCTGCCAGAGAAATTGTCAAAGCTCAGGCTGCTTCCAAACAATCAGGTAGGTAATACCAATAGCAGTCCTTGTAATTAGGAAATTATTAGTGTGGCAATTTCTTCTTTAATGTAACCATCTACAAAATGGGTTTTTAACTTGTTTCTTTCTTTTTCCCCTTTCAGAATTTTTGATCGATTTCATTATTCCCTTTGCCTAATGAAAAGCATCTATAACAAGTTTTAAGGCTGTATCAACAATTTGTATCAGTGAGTGACAAAATCTAACTTTTAGAAAACTGTATACATTGTCTTTTTTCATATTAAGGAAAATTAAATTCCAATCAATCTATTACAGAAACAGTCAAAACTGAAGACCCATCTCAACAAGCTAGTTCCAGCAAAACAAGTAGTGACATAAATGAAGTTGAAATAGAAACATTACCAGGAACCAGTGAAAGCAATGCTCCACAGAATGTTGGTGGTTCCAGAACTATTCCAGCTGACAGTGCTGTGACCAGCGATATCCCTTCCAGAGAACCACACCCAGAGTCCTCGCCCCTCCCTAAAAATTCAAATGTCACCCCCAATGAACCCATGGAAGAAGATGATGTGGAAATTTCCAGGTAAAAAAAAGGAAATATTTTTATTCGCAGATCTATAATCCGCAGATAGATAGCTCCTTGAAGGGATATTGACCTCTAAATATTTTTCTTTATGAGTTCAGCTATCTGTATCACATTGCAGATATAAAATCTGAGGTGTGGATCTTCTACAATTCAACAGAAAGAGAATTGAATGTAGGATCACTGCATATAAATCTTGGTTTCACTCTGTCTGGATGGACTTCCCTTGACAGCTGGAAATATCAAAATAGTTCATTTACGTAATAAATTTTCTCTATTTTACAATGTCACCGATCTATAGGCCTACATTCATTCATCTAAATATTCATCCATTCATACAAATATCCATCAATCTGTCCATCTATTTGTGCAGGCATCATTCATTCATCAAAATATCCATCCACATCCATTTTTTCCATCCATTCATTTTCTGTTTCAGACAGCAGCAGGTGTATCAAGCCAATGCTGAAAGTTATAATGGAGCAGTGAGAGAGAATTTCGCCTGGTCACAAAGTATTACAGATATTGATGTTAGAGTAAATGTAAGTAGATATTATATCAACTTTTTATCCATCTGAGACACTGATATTATAGGTTTCCACATTTATGGGTCTTGCAGTTCCAATAAAACAAAGTGTTTTATGACTTCTCTATCGCCAAGGCTGCCAATATATTTGCAACTTTTGCAATTACTTTAAAGCATTCCTATCATTACAGGACAAACTGAAAATTGGTATGATGCAAATAGAATATAATCTAAATAGACCTCTGCCATCTATATTTGTAGGTACATAAATGTATAACTAAAGGAAAGCAGTGTATAGTCTCAATAGACAAGAAACATATAAAAGTAGGATATAAAGACAGTGATAATGATACAGTTATACTACTTGATGATAATTTAACTTGGGAAATACAAAAAGAAGAATCTATCTGGAGTCTAGTTCCTGGGGAACATATACATGTAAGTATTTTTGACACAAACCATTTCACAAAGGGCCGTGGCTATTCAGTAAACAAATGGGAATTAAAAAACATATGGCCATCACTACCTAACCCTAACAAAGTCACTTAATATTATTCTTGACAATCAAAATGGGTTCACGCTTAAAAAACCTCAAAACTAGGGTGTCCTTTCTTATCCGTAGCGTTGTTAGCAGCCAAAGAGAACACACATCGTGATGGTGCGTTCACAAAGATATTTTACCATTCCACCTATAGTTGATCCAATCAGTGTAGATACCCTGTAGCACAATGCTTGGCTTGGTCATTGGCTTCGTTTTATGAGAAGAATTCAGAAGAATGTTAATTAGCAACTACAAAGAAATTACTGAATTTCAACTGACATTTCATGTCCGTCTATCCCCGAGGAAGGGGTCCTTTTGTATTTTTTTTTTGGGTGTTGAACCATGATAAAAATGTGTGCCCATATTCTCATTACCACCGTTATTATTTTTGATCATTTCAGATTAATCTAGAGAAGAAGGAAGAGAGATGGTGGGAGAGTCTAGTTGTTAGTGAACCAAAGATAAACGTGAGAAAGATAGACTGTAGCAGACCCATGACTGATCTGGATCAAGAAGCTCAATCTAAAATAGGAGAGATGATGTTTAATGAACAACAAAAACGACTTGGTCTACCACAATCTCATGAACAGGTTGGTAAAATCTTTAAGTTCTGTGTACTTTTATGTGTATCGTGGTCAATTATACTTTTATTTTCATTATTCCAATCTTCTGTCAAATGTGGGTCTTGCAACAGAAATGACTTGAGTTATCACAGTCAAATGAACATTATAAAATTTCGAAAACTGACTTTTCTTCTCCTGCTTGAGCTAATGCAGACAAGCAGTACCATGCTGAGGTGCAGTGATCAGATTGTTTTCTTTACAAGATTGTTATGATTTTGACCAACTAGTCACTTGAAAGATTTTTTTTTTCATTGGGTCAAAATATCTTCATATCTTTGTATCGCTCTAAAATTACAAGTCGTTCCTTTTGATACAATAGTTTTCATTGGTCAAAATTGTTTAGGAAGTACATGTAAATCTGCATGCTGTTAATTTCTGTATTTTCTTTTGTTTTCCAGAAAACCTATGATATGATGAAACAAGCGTGGGACGCTGAAGGGTCTCCATTTAAAGGACAGCCGTTTGATGCGTCTAAACTGAGTGTGAATTCAGGAGGGGTGGTATCTATCAATGAATAAGTAACACTCTGGGGAGGAGGAATGCTCCAGACTCTTGATTGGTGATTTACACCCAGGACAGGGAAAACCTGGGAAGACCTCAGAGCCCCGATTTTAACTTATTAAAGAAAGAAAAGAAACAACTATATTTTACAAGGATAACAACTTAGGTTCACATTTAAGGATCCTTTCTACCAGCTGGTCCTTTGCCAAACCTCTTGGCGTCGATCTTTCCGGAATTATCTGTACCTATTTACAGCTGTGTCGACTGGAACTTTTTCAAGGTCATCGGACTATCTCAAAAAGTGAAAGTTTCATGTGTTAGAATTTGGACACAGAACCTGTTTTTTAATTGTATTTAATGTTAAAAATGTAAAATAAGACCCTGATAAAATACATTGTTGTGTTACTGTTACTCAGAGATACACCATTTCAGTTTCTGTTTAGATGTTTAAGCAAAAACACCATTTTGGCGGAAAAAATGTTTTTCTTGTTTATTTATTTACTGTAATGTATGCAACTAAAAATAATATCAATTTCTGTTTAGTTTAATTTGCTTATTGAAAGGGCTTAATGTTTCAAATGTAAATAAAAAATTGCAATGGTATTCATATGTAGTTTGGTTGGATTTAGTGTGGCTCGGTGAGTTAGAATCTTGCTGGAGATTTGCTGTTTGGTCAGCACAGTAGGCATTACCTCTTGACCAACTTGAAAAGTGCTTGTAGTTGCTTAAATGGAAAAATAAACAGTCCTTGTGTGCATCTTGTTGGGTACATTCCTTATCATTTGAAATGAAAACAGAACGGACATTATTAGCCAACTGAATGAAATTCTCAAATTGGAAACACAGATTTGCGTCAAGGTGTTCTAAAAAGCTGAACTGGCCTGTGACCAGTTGCAATGAAGGTAAAATACTTGAGGAGTAACAGTCAGTGTATGTGGTCTAAGGGAAATGATCCGTATTCGCTTAATCAGAGTTATCTCCCTTGCACTGTAAAATGACCGAAGAAGAAAATAAAGTTTTGTCTGATATTCATGTTTCCACGCATTATGAAGAAGTAAATGGTGCAAATTCCAAGAAAAGAGTTGGTAAACAACTATTGAAATTCGAATTTTAGCCTGGCCCTAACGTAGGAATTAGCTGAAGCGCTTATCTTATTTCGATCGTCAGAAACCTTTAATACGTGATGCTTGTAATAACTCTCATAAGTCATAAGAGTTTAAATATTCAACAAATTCCTCATAATGGCGTTGTTATATAAAACAGACAAGCATCTGTTGAAAGATTAAAATGTGGCAGATGTCTCTCGCACTGCCAAATTAATTTAACTTGGCCTATTGATAATGCTTTAGGCCTACATACCGGTACTTAAAAGTCGCTAGGCTATCTGGTAGACCCTAATCTTTGCAGGTTTATGAAGTGGCTTTAAACCTCTCAACTTTGAAGATGTGGAGAATCCACTATTGTTTTTACACTAGCTGATAACTATTTGAAATAACTACCATATCAAAGGCTTGTAAAACTAAAGCCAACAAGCCGTGTGACTAAGATATAATGTGTTTATTTCAGTGTCAAGATTTGTTTTTACTTTACCAATATCAGAAGAGATAGATTCTGACCATGATGAAAATCTCAAAGGTAGGTTTTTGTATTAGGCCTTATATAACCAGCAATATCTTTACTGTAGGCTATATGACTAGGCTGCTTTACTATGTATAAAATTAAATTTCATTAGCTTTTTATCTTGTCAAAAACAGTTTTATTTTCAAATTTGTTTAACATAAAGCTTCGTCTTTGACTGTTCTTTAGACTAAATTGTAGCCTGTACCTAGACCCACACAGCTATTGTAAACAAACAATAATATATAGCTATTTTGTAGAAAATAAAAAGCAGCTAACAGATAGTGATGATGATTTGATGGTAGAGAGAAAACAGTGTAGTCAATCAACTCAAGTTTTAACAATTTGTAAGATTGATTTTCAAATAAAATTTTTTACATTATTTTATTGCATGCAGACATAAGGGGTTGATATTAAAGAGGGCCTGATTATTTTGATGGGACTTGGACAGGGCAATAACAAAAAGAATACCAAAGTCTCAAAGTCAGTAGGAAAATCCATTGACAAAATCGAGTGAAAAAACAATAGGTAACAACATCCCGGAAATGAAACTAAATAAAAGTTGACCTTCAAGAGAGAGGTAGTATCAGGTGTTCCAGAAAGAGTGAGCATACTCTGCCTCATGCATGACACCTGCCAATATCTAGATAATCAGTTTTAAAGTGAAGAAAATGCGATTGATCGAAATTATAATAAAATGTCTTCATTATATCAATATGATGCAGAAAAATAGAATCTCATATTTTCAAACTGCTATTTTTGAAATTCCTTAATTCAATCATTTTTTTTATATCGTAGATCATAATTTAGAAACAGTTTTAGCAGATGTTGGTCTTCAGGTAAAATTTTACTTTATAAACATTTATTAGAATCAATAGGAAAGAAAACACTGATATTTTAATGTTCTTATTGAATTATACAAACATAGTGCTGATTATAACGTAATCTACGTATCTGAAAGAAGTTTATTTTCAAATTCAGACCTAGATTTTCATAGATATATGATACATATCATGATATGGGGTAATGGGATAAAAACTAACATTTTGTCTTCAAAGTTTCTATATATATTAATTTATAACTTTATAACTGTGATATTAGGTAATATAGTTGAGAGAAGTGGTTAGCGTCCACTGTCTTATTAATAGTTTCTAACAATTTCAGTGAAAAAAATTGTTATATCATAAAACAACGTATAAAATCTGCACTTTTTTTTAAGGAATAAAGGGTGTCAGCAAGCATTGATATATGATGTTGCGATACAATTCACAAATCGTTGGCATGTCGTATTGCCAATATCTGTGTTTGTCTATACTATTTGTATATATTTTGTAGATTTGGTCTGGTTGTTTGTTATTATGTGACTATATAATATATAACAATACAGAATTTATAAATAAAACAATATTAGATCTAGGAGCAGGATGTGGTCTATCTAGTATTGTAGCTGCCATGTTTGCTTCTACAGTATACTGTACAGGTTGGTATCTGATTGGGAACTATTTTTTGAAAACCGTGGGGATCCAAGGTTTGATCCCAGTATTAGGGGCAGAATGAACACAAAAAAGGGTCTTTTGGATTTTAATAATTTACCACATGCTCAATGTAGGCTACTACAAGTTTCGCGTCAATAGTTTGAAATGGAAAAGGGTAGACTTATTGCCTCAGAGAACACCACATGATCACTTGTTTTCATTTACCCATTTAGGATCAGAATAGTAGGAAATAAAACTCTATTTCATTTAAATATCTCTAAAATTCTATGCAAAAAATATAGATTTAACAAAAATTTTCAAATCTATTTTATTTGCAGATTATAGTGATGATATATTAGATCTAGCTAGAGAAAATATTGAATTAAATAATCACCTAATACCAGATTTAGACAACATTATAGAGATTAGGAAGCTGGATTGGATGAACTGGGGTAGGTATTCTCAGATATTGCCCAACTTTGATACCAGTATGTCCAAATATATACAATACAAAACACTTACATCACAAACTGATGACATTAATGCTGCAGAAACACGAACAGTGGCCGACTAGTGTTTTTGCATGCAATTGAAAGGAAAATGAATCTGATTGGATGATGACGCTCTGTCTTGCACTTGATAAAACAATCGGCAATGAATATTAAACTGGTTTGATATTATAAATACTGTCAGCAACACGATAATCTTATCAGGGAAGCGTTGAAACGTGAAATTTTACTGACATCAATCAGAATCAAAAATAGACAAAAATAGACGACCAAGAACTGAATCCAGAACTCAGGTCGCAAGGCATAATATCTCCTCTACTTGTCCGAACAAAATTACTGGTTTTTCTCTGAACTCACTAATCTGAAGGTCCAGGGTTCAATCTCTTCATAACAGGTCAAAATAACACCTTTGTATTTTTCAAAATATATTACTTCTAGTTGAAACCCTTCAATGGTAAATTAGAAACACCAGTTTTAGATAAATAAGATAATATTAATGATAGATAGTAGATACCTGTACCACTCTGGTATTACTTTCAACGTTTCAATGTGGTTCTCACACCATCATCAGATACTTCTAGAATATTTATTACTTTCAATGTGGTTCTCATATCATTATCAGGAATATAATAATACTTCTAGAATATTTATTACTTTCAATGTGGTTCTCATATCATTATCAGGAATATAATGATACTTCTAGAATATTTATTACTTTCAATATGGTTCTCATATCATTATCAGGAATATAATAATACTTCTAGAATATTTATTACTTTCAATGTGGTTCTCATATCATTATCAGGAATATAATGATACTTCTAGAATATTTATTACTTTCAATATGGTTCTCATATCATTATCAGGAATATAATAATACTTCTAGAATATTTATTACTTTCAATATGGTTCTCATATCATTATCAGGAATAGAATGATACTTCTAGAATATTTATTACTTTCAATGTGGTTCTCATATCATTATCAGGAATATAATGATACTTCTAGAATATTTATTACTTTCATTGTTTCAATATGATTCTCATACTGTCATCAGGAATATAATGATAATTCTAGAATATTTATTACTTTCAATGTTTCAATATGCAGGAAAATAATGATTTCATATAAAAAAACGAATTTGTGTGAAGATAAATAGAAAATCTATAAATCTGTTTGTTATATCATTGAGATCGTTCTGAAATGAGTTTTTAATAGACGCTTTTGTCAAGTCATCTGAATGATTTTAAGAAAAATTTGTATAATGAATAAACTTATCATTCCTTATATCGGCAATTATCATTCGGATTTTAAACAGATGGACAATAAATCAGGTAAATTTGGAATTTTTTATATAAAAACGACGGGATATATTTCAGGTTGTGTAAAGAAAGAGAATGATTTATCCGTGAAAGAAGCTAGTGAAGTGGAAGTTTTTATAGCAGCGGAAGGTAAATTAGTATCCTTATTTTGTAGTGTCATTTTGAAGTTGGAGTAAGGTTTGATTTTATTTGTTAAAATTGACTTTTAAACGTCATAGTGGTTACAATTTTGAGGATATTGCAAATGCATATTGATGAGATCTTGTATGATTTCAGTAGACTATAATTTTGAGTTGCAGATGACATGAATTTTGTTCTGCTGTGAGGGTGTGTATCCTCTTGTACGACCATTTGTCAAGGCTTTCAAATTCTGTGAAATTCCATATTAAGTATGGAAATGAACTGTAACTTTAAATTATTTTTTTTTGACTTTCAATTGAATGAAAATGTGTTGTTATCGCATAAATATATGATGTATGGCCCCATTATTTACCTTGTCACCGAACATATTTATTTTTGTTTGTTAATGTCCAAAGATGTGTGACTGAAGTCGATTCATATTGATTTATGTCACTTCTTTCTTTTTTTGACATTTATTAAAGGTTGTTTGATAGATAGATAACAAAGTTCTTATGAAATCGAATTACTGAGTTTATTTAATTGATGTTTCCACTAGGCTCTATCCAAAGGCCTACATTACAAAAACTATATCTTGTGCGCACAATTTTGTCCAAAATTTATTTTTTGTCTCTTCGAATTCAATTAAAAAATATATTATTACGAGGGAACGATCTGTTGAAGATCTGAAAGTCATTGAGAAGCCCCAGGAAAACCTTTGTCCACAAGCTAATCAGTCTGCAATCAATAAGTCAATTTATCCCTCTGTCAGCTGTCTGTTCGTGTTTTAAGGGCAGATGAAAATAGTTTGACAAAATTTAATACTTCATAAGATTACAGGCCACGTATACTCAAAACGATTTTTACGGCAAGGACATCCTAGAAACACTCAGAAGTTAAGATACTAGGATATCCTAGAAACACTCAGAAGTTAAGATACTAGGATATCCTAGAATCACTCAGAAGTTAAGATACTAGGATATCCTAGAATCAATGTTAGAAGTTAAGACCCTAGGATATCCTAGAATCAATGTTAGAAGTTAAGACCCTAGGATATCCTAGATACAGTGTTAGAAGCTAAGACCCTAGGATATCCTAGATACAGTGTTAGAAGTTACAACCCTAGGATATCCTAGAAACACTCAGAAGTTAAGATACTAGGATATCCTAGAATCAATGTTAGAAGTTAAGACCCTAGGATATCCTAGAATCAATGTTAGAAGTTAAGACCCTAGGATATCCTAGATACAGTGTTAGAAGCTAAGACCCTAGGATATCCTAGAAACAGTGTTAGAAGCTAAGACCCTAGGATATCCTAGATACAGTGTTAGAAGCTAAGACCCTAGGATATCCTAGATACAGTGTTAGAAGCTAAGACCCTAGGATATCCTAAATACAGTGTTAGAAGTTAAGACCCCAGGATATCCTAGATACAGTGTTAGAAGCTAAGACCCTAGGATATCCTAGATACAGTGTTAGAAGCTAAGACCCTAGGATATCCTAAATACAGTGTTAGAAGTTAAGACCCCAGGATATCCTAGATACAGTGTTAGAAGCTAAGACCCTAGGATATCCTAGATACAGTGTTAGAAGCTAAGACCCTAGGATATCCTAGATACAGTGTCAGAAGCTAAAATCCTAGGATATCCTAGATACAGTGTTAGAAGCTAAGACCCTAGGATATCCTAGATACAGTGTTAGAAGCTAAGACCCTAGGATATCCTAGATGCAGTGTTAGAAGTTACAACCCTAGGATATCCTAGAAACAGTGTTAGAAGTTAAGACCCTAGGATATCCTAGAAACTCTGTTAGAATTTAAGACCCTAGGATATCCTAGATATTGTGTTAGAAGCTAAGACAATAGGATATCCTAGATACAGTGTTAGAAGCTAAGACCCTAGGATATCCTAGAAACAGTGTTAGAAGTTAAGACCCTAGGATATCCTAGGGTCAGTGTTAGAAGTTAAGACCCTAGGATATCCTAGGGTCAGTGTTAGAAGTTACAACCCTAGGATATCCTAGAAACAGTGTTAGAAGCTAAGACCCTAGGATATCCTAGAAACAGTGTTAGAAGTTACAACCCTAGGATATCCTAGATACAGTGTTAGAAGCTAAGACCCTAGGATATCCTAGATACAGTGTTAGAAGCTAAGACCCTAGAATATCCTAGATACAGTGTTAGAAGCTAAGACCCTAGGATATCCTAGAAACAGAGTTAGAAGCTAAGGATATCCCAGGGCTAAGGTCTTTTTGAGAATTCACATGCAGTATATCAATGATGTGCTTGAAAGTAGTAAGTAAAACTCTGTTTCATTTTGTTTCAGTGATCTATGATATAGATTTAACAACAGCTCTGTTTAACACCATAACTTATCTGTTAGACTCATCCTCAAAAACTGTTTATATATCATTGGAAAAAAGGTATGTATATGATCAATTTCTTGATAAGTCTAAGGTATGATGTCAATTTGATACAAGTAGCCTCAATATTCAATGGATCTTTGCAGCTAAAATCACGATTTTTGAATATTTCAGGTGTAATTTTAGTGTAAATGATTTAACAGTAGTGACTCCAGCGTATTCTCATTTCCTAGAATGTCTAGAGATTCTTCAATCGAACCTACAGTCAGCAGATTGTCGGCTGGAATATAACAGAGTCAGCTGTGATTTTCCTCAATATTTTAAATATTCCAGGCTTAAAGAGTTGGTTAGTTTTGATTCATTATTTTAAAGTATTGTGAAGGTGCATGCTTATTCTTCTTGAACTCTTGATGCCATTTTGTGATTAAGGCATCTTTATCAGAGTCCACATAGCTAATAATGTTTATTTGGTATTTAAGTTTGTCAACTGTGCATCTCTTTCAGAGAGTCCACATTGCTAATAATGTTTATTTGGTATTTAAGTTTGTCAACTGTGCATCTCTTTCAGAGAGTCCACATTGCTAATAATGTTTATTTGGTATTTAAGTTTGTCAACTGTGCATCTCTTTCAGAGAGTCCACATCGCTTATGTTTATTTGGTATTTAAGTTTGTCAACTGTGCATCTCTTTCAGAGAGTCCACATTGCTAATATTGTTTATTTGATATTTAAGTTTGTCAACTGTGCATCTCTTTCAGAGAGTCCACATATCTAATATGTTGATGTGGTATATGCATTAGTTACTTAGCATCTTTCAGAGAGTCCACATCGCTAATGTTTATTTGGTATTTAAGTTTGTCAACTGTGCATCTCTTTCTGAGAGTCCACATAGCTAATATTGTTTATTTGATATTTGGGTTTGTCAACTACACACCCCTTTCAGAGAGTCCACATATCTAATATGTTGATGTGGTATATGCATTAGTTACTTAGCATCTTTCAGAGAGTCCACATCGCTAATGTTTATTTGGTATTTAAGTTTGTCAACTGTGCATCTCTTTCTGAGAGTCCACATAGCTAATATTGTTTATTTGATATTTGGGTTTGTCAACTACACACCCCTTTCAGAGAGTCCACATATCTAATATGTTGATGTGGTATATGCATTAGTTACCTAGCATCTTTCAGAGAGTCCACATCGCTTATGTTTATTTGGTATTTAAGTTTGTCAACTGTGCATCTCTTTCTGAGAGTCCACATAGCTAATATTGTTGATTTGATATTTGGGTTTGTCAACTGCACATCCCTTTCAGAGAGTCCACGTAGCTAATGATGTTTATTTGGTATTTATGTTTGTTAACTCATCATCTCTTTCAGAGAGTCCACATAGCTAATGATGTTTATTTGATATTTCTCATGTAACTTGCAGGAACTGTGGAAGATAACATCAAAGAAAAGATATCCAAAAAGATGAGAAGATTCCACAAGATATATATCCAGAAAAACCAGTGGCTCTGATACAGTTACATTCCTCAGATTCCAAACCCAGTCAGATCGTGAAATGAGGTGTTGCTTGTGACACCACTATGTAGAGAACAGTTATCGACAGAGCTTCTAGATTATATGCTCTTTGGAGTATGACTCAAATGCTTAAAGCTAATGTTTTGAAGAAAGGGAAATGAAACAGAGTTTTCGTATATTTCTGCTCCTAATTAAGCTATTACAATTTCCAGAATAAAAAAAAGGATTTTTACATCCTAGATTTCTGCTCCTGACAAGGCTGATGAAGGCAATAAATTTTGTATATATAATCATTTGATAATAATTGCCTGTAACACCTCAAGCCTATATTTACTGTCTCATCCAAATCATGATGCATTTCAGACCCTCCAATAAAAATCTTAAAGCAAAACAGTTCTGACAATCAAAAATAATGTCCAAAGAATGGAAAAATCCATAGTAAAAGTTGTATAGTAGACTCTTCAAAAGAAAAGTACCATTAGGTGTTTCCAAGAGCTTTGCATGTGACTTCCGCAACTACTAAAATAGTCAAAACCATGAGATCTGCAAGAAGAAAAGGACATACAAATATAAAACCATATTTTATTAGACAAATGTTTGAAGAAGTCATTATTTTAACAGTAACATTTTAACTTCAAACAAGGTTAAACATATTATCATAATTAGTTATATCTTCACAATGTCAAGCTAAAACAAACTATGTCTCATACCTTGACATTATTTAGCACTTAGAGTTTGTAATACCTTGACATTGTGAAGATAATTAAGTCCTATTTACATTGTTTTTTCTTGTAATAAAATTCATCTTACAAAAACTTCTATACAGACAAAATATCGTGTACATTTGAAACAATTCAAAACATACCATGAACGATCTATTTAGTTTTAACGTAGAATAAATACTGATAGTTATTGGAACTATACTAGGCAGCCTTATCTTGTGTTCTTTACTATTGTCAAGCACATATGTATGCTACAGATCTTATTGATTTGAGGTAGAATAAATAGTCATTATCACTTCATACACCAGACTTCTATTGTGTTCAGACCACTTATCCTTCCTAGACATATAATTGATTGTTGGTGACAATGTTTTCAAGATGAGCGTCATATATTTGCGCTAGAATGTGCTTCCGGTATATTTAACTACCTCATGATAACGATGATCGTGTTTATATTTTGAACTGTTCATGGATGGACATCATTTTTTGACTTACTGGCTATGTTTAGTACATAAGTCCCTGATTATATTGGTCATAGTCGTTCAAAAACAAAGGTACATGCTTTGATCACCTTTAACAGAATCCATAGTGGGCTTTCTAAAGCTCATATTCACAATGATCAAGCTATTAAGAACTCCATCTAATACCTTGACTGAAATAGTCACTTTCCTTGTATTACAGAATGAAGCAATTTGATTGGATTGCATACCAGGGAATATAGCCAATCAAAGCCCTCCACACAGCACATGGCCTGATTCAGTACATAATCAAGAGCAGTATATTTTAGTTTTTTTAACAAGGTCGCTGATTCTAAGACACAAGAAAGGTGGCTATTGCAGTCAAGGTATAAGACGAATAGCTTGACCATTATGAAGATGTGATACAATGTGTTACTGTCATTGTTAATATCATGGAAATGCTGTGAAAAACAAGTACAGTAAAACAGCAATTCTCCACCAAAAACATTCAATATATATGTCCTTGTTATCATAAGCTTACACAATGGAAAAAAAAAGGTCACATAGTTTTCTTGCCATTTTCAAATATATAGATCGATGTATTGCTATTTCTATTTATACAATATCTGCATTGTTAAAACAATAAATACTGACTTGTACAACTTGATGAATCAAACAGCCAATAAATACTGACTTGTACAACTTGATGAATCAAACAGCCAATAAATACCGACTTGTACAACTTGATGGATCAAACAGACAATAAATACCGACTTGTACAACTTGGTGAATCAAACAGCCATACTCAAATTGAAGATGATTTTAGTTGTCTAGTTATCTGATTGGTCAATCACTTAAATTGATCTTAAATTTTGTTGTATTATCCAATCAGATTACTGTATTTCTTAAAATCAGGATTTTATCTTAATTAAGTTTTCTAGAATAAGGCCCATAGGCCCTTTTGTTTCAAATTTTGACTCAGATTAAATCCACATTTTAAATACAGTAATCTGATTGGATAATAAATCAAGATTTAGAATTTAATTTTGTAATTGACCAATCAGATGACTGGAACATCAAAATCATCCTCATTATGGATTTGTGAAAAAAAAACCTGCAGACTGACTGTTCTTAATTTTGCTAGAACTGAGACCAAGAATATTGAGAAATTTGAGATGAAATTGAATGAATTTTTAACAATAATAACGCTATATACAATAAAATAAAATATTCGATAATCCAGCATAATTATTCTACATCTAGATCCGATTTAAATCATAAGCAAGACCAGTTCACTTTATTTTAGGTAGTATAAGTAGTAATAGAGACTACATTTATCATATTAAGCAGTGTAAATTAGCACTAAAACTACCTAACCATAAAGTGGACTGTTCTTATCTATTTTGAATCAAACCCAAAGTGCACAAATATCTTTTTCTCGTAAATACATACGATTATAGTGTCATTACAATTCATTATGAAACTAGGTCAGGTGCATTGTTTCGTTTGTCTTTGACTGTAGACAGTCCTCGTACGGCTATTTTATTTTTTCAAGGTGGCCTGTATACAAATCTTTTTCAAATGAGCAATATATCATGTTCAGAAATAATCCTTTTGAATCTCTTTGGGAGTAGAAATCCCCCAAAAATTATGGAACAAATCATATACTACGAACTTACTGGTTTCCTGTCAGAGAGGTTTCATCTTAAATAATAATCATAAATATAAAATACTAACATTGTATTGATTGGATGATTTAACTAGCCCTAAAATATTGACCAATCAGATTTCTAACTTATTGTCAGAAACATCTAAAGCATAGAATTCTAAGAACAGTGATTGGTTGATCTCACTAGTGTAATATTACTGACCAATCAAACGTGTAGAAGATAATTTGCTATGATAATTAAAAGCTACCAAGTTTTTAATTTTGATAAAAGGCCGCTGGAGTAGTATGCCAAAATAAGTCTTATAATATAATAATTTTGTTAACAATTTTTAAAATCAAACAAAAGGTAAAGGCAGAACTGTTTTTAGCTGCCATAAATCAGTATTTACAAATAAAGTATTATTATTAAATCACATGATTCTTTCATTCAAACAGCACCGCCCTCATGGACCCCACCCTAACGACTGGGCTACATTCAAACAGCACCGCCCTCATGGACCCCACCCTAACGACGGGGCTACATTCAAATAACCAAATTTTATTCAATGATTCAATGAAAATTTAATTTTTTGGAAAAAAAGATGAAATTTGATGTAAAATGGAATCGAAAAATCTCTTGGATTGCAATTTGTGAGTTATTTGCCACTCTCATCTCTTCGCGTCTTCACAAACAAGTAACTGAGCAAGAATTCCAGAATGTTACGTTTGTTAAAAGATATGAAATGAAATGGAATCTACTTCCTACTTCTATGAACTGATTGAAGGCCATGCAGTGAGGACAAATTTGTTTGAATTACAGTCTACTCTAAACATCATATATTAATAGTGAGGTTATGATAGAGATTGGAATTTCAAATTTAGTTATGGTCGTAAAAGTTAACAATGTGATGATCAAGTAAATTTGTAATAAAATAGGTAATTAATGAAAACTTCATGATTTGAAATAGGTAACATGCCTTTATATATTTTCTAAACCAGCTGATAAGCTCAATTTCCACCTGTAGCCCTTTCCAGAAAGAATTCAGACTTCAAGTATGTGAGAAATCAAATGTCATTTGCATCACTCTCAATTCACCATTGTAGACATTTCATAGTACCTTTAATAAGAGACACCGATAGCCAAGATTGAGCTCTATCAGCTAGTAAAATTCAAATGTTCAGGTTACTACATCCCTTTCATGTATAATCTGGGTATAATCTGCCAGTTACATACCTAACACCCCTCAACTTTCTAATGAACTCTTCCACACATGCATACTTTGTATTATATTAAATTGTATTAGTATGGTTGGAAGAGCTCATTTCTAAAATAAGGGTGTTCTTTGCCTTTGCGATGCATTGGTGTATCTTGACAAGATCAAAATGTAAATGGAAATTTTAGAATTTGAATGTAAAATAACTGCCTTTTAGATGTATAACCTGATAAAATAATCAATGTACAATCCAGGTCTTATCCAAACATAACACAAGTAGTCACTCACAAATACCTCCGTTTCACTAAACCAGGATTCTAATTCTCCAACTCTTAAATCCAGATGTTAAGAGTTACAGTAATCTGATTGGATAACAAAACTAAATTTAACATCAATTTTAGTGATTGACCAATCAGACCATTGGTTGACTTAAATCACCTTAAGTTAAGATTTCAAGACTAAGGAAGTTCATTTTGTAAATAAATTGACTGCTAGTGGTAATGTTTTGACAATTCTGGATTGTACATTTAAATTATTTTATCAAACTATACCAGATTATATCACAATAAACATTTCACGAACATAACGACAATTCCTCTTTTAACAGTTCTAATTGGCTGGTACATCGCTGTACAACATCTGGTCTTATTAAACTAAAATCAAATAAGTTCACCAGATGGATCGTAAAATTGCGTAATAAGTTTTTCTCCAATATTTCAGGTCCATGTTTTTGTACGAATGTGTAACAGGCTTGTGGTATCTGACAATCAGATATATACCTGAAACGAAAAAATAAAATTTTGGCTCTTCATCGTAGTTAGGATCAATATACACTTGCAACATGCAAATTTATGAGAGCGACAATGACTTTGCCTCAAGGGCGTGACCTCTAATTCATTTTCATTGAATTTTCTAAGTGAGGTGATCACTTTTTTGGTTCCGCCCTGCAGGACTGTATCAGGTCCACTTTGACGACTGTAATTTTAGGGGTACAAGCCTCGAGACAGATCTTGATTTAAATCCATTAAGATAGCTTTCCAGGCAAGGTAATATACGCCCACTGGCAAGTTTCGTTAAAATCTGTCAAGAATTGTCCCTTCTAGAGTGTTTACGAGCTAAAAATTGAACGCGTTTTCAAAAACAAGGGCAATAACTTATACTATATATTTTTCGATTCTTCTGATTTTCAATAGGGTTCATCCTTGGGTGATTACGAACACTCATACCAAGTTTTGTCAAAATCCGTCAAGAATTGTGTCTTGTAGTGTGTTTACGAGCAATAGTGGACTGACGGACCGACGGATATGGGTGACGACAATATACGCCCCCCATTTCATGTGGGCGTATAAAAATGATTTTTAGACAAATTTTTCAAGAAAATTGTAATATTAATATTACAAGACTGGAAAAAAATTCTGCTAACAAATCATGATAATATAGAATTTTATATCAAAAACCCATCATATATCAGATTTATAATAAAATATCATATTTCTGTCTTGTCAGTAAATGAGTTGACACAAGAAATGACATGGAGATGGATAAAGAAATGAATACTCCCACTTGATAACAGTTCTTGTTACTTGTTCATTTATTTCAAAGTTTTTCTAATTTAGATCTGATTGCGTGGGAAAGCTTCAAAATGGAGAAAACATAATAGAAAGGAGACATTCCATTGCGTGTGAATTCTGAATCACGTGGGGCCTTAGATTCTAAACAGCAAGATGGTTTTTTCATATCAGCGTCTGACCTTAATCTAATCTTGAATATTGACTGCGTGTGCTAGATTCAAAATGGACAGATAGAGAGACATTCAGATCAATGTGAGTTCTGAATCACGTGGGGCCTGGGGTTATTGTCCCATCTGAACAACAAGATGATTCTCTCATATCATCCTTTCTGCTCTACATCTTTGACAGACAGAAACATTCAAAGGTATTATCATAACTTAAGTCAGAATTGCATAAGATCTCCCTGTTAATAAAAGCTTCTTCCTTAAGTCAGTGTAGACTGACTGCATGTCTCAATAATTTCTTGCTGTTGAAAAATCATACGTCAAAAAAATTAGTAAATGTGCACCTGCCTTTACACATTAAGCCAAAATAATTTACACATCTCAAAGAAAGAGAAAGTGACTACTCACTGATTGGTCATTATATGTAGATTCCACATCTTCATCAGCTCTTTCTCTCCCTCGTTTACATCCGTAAATTCATCTATCATCTAGAAATTATAATATAGTGGTCATTAGATTTTGAATTGGTATCCACATAGTACAGAGTTAATATTGTTTTAGTTGGCAATTAAATAAAAAAAAATTCCACAATAAAAATTCAATCTTGCAAAGTTTTGTAAAGCGTGATTGAATTTAGCATTCTTCACATCTATTGAATCAATCAATAAAAGTGAATGTTAGAACCTGTGGTACTAGCGTCTAGCTTTTAACGAAGTAAAATTTTTGAAAAAAAGGGCAAAGATAGATGTATAATTACGTTGACTGTCTTCTGTCGCAGCCAAACTGGAACTATTTCATCCATATCGGCATCAAAATCTATTTCATGCGGCCTGACAGGTTGATTTATTATCTGATAAAAATACAGTCTGAAATAAACAATTATATTATACACTTTAAAGATGAGTTCCCTTATTTTCATTTATTATTTAAAGATGGGTTTCCTTATTTTCATTTATGAAAATGAAAATGCTAATACTTATATGAATAGAAAGTAGAGGTGTTCTAATGACTTGGAAAAATATCAGTTTGTCTCACATGTCCATAATTAATTCATAATTAGCTAAATTAATTAGAGAATTATAAACAGAATTCCAATGAGTGACCGATCAAGAAAGGTCAAAAAGTCTTTTTTTGTTTATCCAGACTTTACATACATGGACATTTATGATTGGTTAAACTCTTAATTATATGCAATAAGAACATAATGATATGATTAAGAATACATGATAATTCATTAGAAACACCAATTAATCTAATAGTTTGCTTAATTTGACACTAAAAAATAAGGAAAGCCATCTCTAATACTCGGCTTAGTTCATCATTTATTTCGCTTGTTCACTTAAAAACTCTAGACAAAACCAAATTAGTGTCATGCATTCATTGTTAAGTAGCAATACACTCTACTTTCTGCATCTTTTTGGGTTCATAAAGAAGGAAAAAGTTAGTGCAATAAACATTAGAGTACCCTTTTCAAACTGTCCAGGGATCTATAACGTGTACAGCCTGTAGCATACAGGCTCGGTTTATTGTCCCATCTGAACAACTAGACACTTTTTCCATCTCAGACCATTCTACCTGCCTCTGTGACAGTGTGAAACTCATCAACTTATCCTAACTAATTTTCTCAACAACAAGAGATCATGGGCCATTTCTGGAAAACTAAGACAGTATTCTGATCTTTTAACATCTTTAGTAAAGTTTTCAAAACAAGGCCACAGTACTGCAGTCTTTCAGTTAAAATAAGACAGCAATCATTTAAAATAAATCAAAGAATATAATTACCTGTTATGGCCCTGAACAAATTGTCGATTACATTGAGAGTCATTTTCTGGCTCAATAAACTCAGAGAGGGAAATTTCTGGACGTTTGGGTCTAAAAAAAAAACCATTAAAATCAGTCTGACTTTTAAAGAAAAATTGCAGACTTCATGGTGCCTTCTGTCACGAACAATTATATTCTAAACAGTTTAAAAGACTGAATGTCAAATCATGTGGAGTGGACCTTGTTTCTAGTCAGATGAGATTAAAAGTTAAAACTAATGTAATGGGTCTTGTGTATTGACATGTTTGGCTCTAAAATAAAAATTACATCCTATTTTTCTGCTTTCGACAGGGCAAATGAACTGATATTTTTCATTCCGTCTATGAATACAGACAATGCTAAAGGTCATACTTTTTGATCTCTCTTCAGGTCACATTTTTATTTCCTCTGTAAAATTTTGAGATTTTTTTTTGCGTACAAGCTTTTGAGAATGAAATGCCAGGCACTGAACCCCTTTTGAAGGGCCTAGCAGATTTATGATCAATTTATGAAGCGAGCGTTCAGATGACTGAAGCACCAAAATTATGAAAACTAGGCCAGGATGTGAAGATATAAAACATGGCCTACCTATAAACAATGACATGAGTGACAGGCGTACGACGAACAGGGACATTACGACTAAAGGCGTAACCAATATGAGAATGTAAATCCTGAGGATTTCCAACATACGAGCCGTCATATCGTTCATTGATTGATACGTCTATACGAGCTCCTTTTGGATGAGTCTGAAATATAGACACAGGATAAAGGGTCAACAAATAGGTCAAAGGTTATTCTGTACAGGTTAAAGGTTAACAAGATCTGGTTGTGCTCTATACAAGATCCTTTTCTATAATACAGAGGGTAAATTTAACACACTTTATAAAGTCAATGGTCAACAATATGGTCAAAGGTCAGGGCTGTTCGTGTATCCTCACCATTAGAAGACATGGAAGCCATCAACTAACTAACAGAAACCCTTAAAAAACAGAAGGGCCTAATTCTGTTTCCATACTCAACTATTTTGAAAATTATAGCAAGAGAGCCTACTTACCGCATACATAAAATCAAATCGAGCATGACAAAGTCGTAGATGTTTGAGAAGGCCATAAAGTTGCATACAATTAACTGAGCACCACGGGCAGCGTAAATCATCCCGGGCCTCCGTCTGCTGCTGGCTATTATTATTATATAAAAACTGGTAAAATATTCGCTGGCGTTTTCTAGGGGTTGTTTGCCCAGCAGCTTTTATAATAGGTGAGGTCTTAGTGGTACCTAGAAGATATAAAACAAAGATTTTCACATGAAATCCAGGGACCCATGTCCAGTCATCTTCACAAAGTCAAGCTATTATACCTTATACCTTGCATGCAATAGCCACTATTCTTTTATCACAGAATGCAGCGATTTGATTGGATAGTTCACCGTTGAATACAACCATTCAGAGCCCTCGACAGAAGGACAGTAACCATCATGGTTTTGTGTTCATGGACTTTGTGTCAAGGCCTCTGATTGGCTGTCTTCGCTATCGTACAATCCCATACAATTGCTCTTTTCACCAAAGGTATGCAATACGAAAAAGGTTGCTACTGCAGTCAAGGTATAAGACAGTTTGTAATAGCTTGACATTGTGAAGATGATACAGTATAATTTCTATGTTGAAAGCTTTAATCAAACTAACTCTATATTATTTTAATGGAGTAAATCTTCCTCTTCTTAACTACTTATAAATCTTGACCGTTAACATCAGAACACTATTATTACAGAGATCACAAGACTAGGTCATAAGTGGTCCATAAATTACATAACATGTTAGACTAATATAATGTCTGTATCTTCATATATTAAACACATTCTATAGACACAAACATATAATATTTTAATTCTGGAGACTTACACAGTAAGTGGTTTAAATATTTATTTTACCAGCTGATAGAGCTCAATTCAGCTATCTGTATAGTCATCTAAATATTTACTTTACCAGCTGATAGAGCTTAATTTTAGCTATCTGTATAGTCATCTAAATATTTACTTTACCAGCTGATAGAACTCAATTTCTGCTGTCTGTATAGTCATCTAAATATTTACTTTACCATCTGATAGAGCTCAATATCAGCTATCTGTATAGCCATCTAAATATTTACTTTACTAGCTGATAGAGCTCAATTAAAGCTATCTGTATAGTCATCTAAATATTTACTTTACCAGCTGATAGAGCTCAATTTAAGCTGTCTGTATAGTCATCTAAATATTTACTTTACTAGCTGATAGAGCTCAATTTAAGCTGTCTGTAAAGTCATCTAAATATTTACTTTACTAGCTGATAGAGCTCAATTAAAGCTATCTGTATAGTCATCTAAATATTTACCTTTCTAGCTGATAGAGCTCAATTTAAGCTATCTGTATAGTCATCTAAATATTTACTTTACCAGCTGATAGAGCTCAATTTAAGCTGTCTGTAAAGTCATCTAAATATTTACTTTACTAGCTGATAGAGCTCAATTTGAGCTGTCTGTATAGTCATCTAAATATTTACTCTACCAGCTGATAGAGATCAATTTAAGCTATCTGTATAGTCATCTAAATATTTACTTTACCAGCTGATAGAACTCAATTTCAGCTATCTGTATAGTCATCTAAATATTTACTTTACCAGCTGATAGAGTTCAATTTCAGCTTTCTGTATAATCATCCAAATATTTACTTTACCAGCTGATAGAACTCAATTTAAGCTATCTGTATAGTCATCTAAATATTTACTTTACTAGCTGATAGAGCTCAATTTCAGCTATCTGTATAATCATCTAAATATTTACTTTACCAGCTGATAGAACTCAATTTCAGCTATCTGTATAATCATCTAAATATTTACTCTACCAGCTGCTAGAGATCAATTTAAGCTATCTGTATAGTCATCTAAATATTTACTTTACCAGCTAATAGAGCTCAATTTCAGCTATCTGTATAATCATCTAAATATTTACTTTACCAGCTGATAGAGCTCAATTTAAGCTGTCTGTATAGTCATCTAAATATTTACTTTACTAGCTGATAGAGATCAATTTAAGCTATCTGTATAGTCATCTAAATATCTACATTACCAGCTGATAGAACTCAATTTAAGCTATCTGTATAGTCATCTACATATTTACTTTTCTAGCTGATAGAGCTCAATTTAAGCTATCTGTATAGTCATCTAAATATTTACTTTACCAGCTGATAGAACTCAATTTCAGCTATCTGTATAATCATCTAAATATTTACTTTACCAGCTGATAGAGCTCAATTTCAGCTATCTGTATAGCCATCTAAATATTTACTTTACCAGCTGATAGAACTCAATTTCAGCTATCTGTATAATCATCTAAATATTTACTTTACCAGCTGATAGAGCTCAATTTCAGCTATCTGTATAGTCATCTAAATATTTATTTTACCAGCTGATAGAGCTCAATTTCAGCTATCTGTATAATCATCTAAATATTTACTTTACCAGCTGATAGAACTCAATTTCAGCTATCTGTATAATCATCTAAATATTTACTCTACCAGCTGATAGAGATCAATTTAAGCTATCTGTATAGTCATCTAAATATTTACTTTACCAGCTAATAGAGCTCAATTTCAGCTATCTGTATAATCATCTAAATATTGCTTACC